AATAACAGGAGCAATTGCTGTCTCTGGAATGAATTCAGTGGCAGGCTCTTTGATCACCTCCCCAGCGGGGGAGGGGTGCAGCCTTGCCAGGCCACAGAGGAAGACTATAAAACCAGGCCTAATGAGACCTGATAAGGCCTAGAATCAGACAGATGGGGAGGAGGACCTCCCCTATCAGTGGACTAGGGGAGGGGCATGGGGGAAGAAGAGAGAGGGAGGGTGGAATTGGGAGGAGACAAAGGAGGGGGCAAAGCAGGGATACAAATTGAATAAATTGTAATAAATGATAATAATAATAATAAAAATTAAAACAAAACACTTCAGATGCCAACAATCCCAGGTGGAAAGCCTTCCTCAATAGTTTCAGTAAATATTCACATAACAACTGATGTGACATTACTTGTTGCATTTTGGAAAGACTGAAACTTAAGGAAACCCACAATTTTGAAAACCCATTTCTCATAACATAACATAAATGCTTTCAAATACTGATACATACATATTTACTCTGGCTGCCATGTCCTCTTCCAGAAGTTCTAGTTTATCTTCCTCCATATCACTGAGTTTAACTTGCTTCACCACTTCCAAAAGCAATGACTCACTGGAAGGCTGCAAGTGCTGGACACCTTTTTAAGAAAAAAAGAATCAATTAAGAAGTAGGAAAAAATATGAATTCCAGAACAGTCAGGGCTACACAGAAAGCACATGGGGGGGGGGGGGGGGGGCAAAGATAGAGACCATATGAGCAGTGTCTACAGCTGACAGAAATACACAGCTGAATACCTTCTGGAGTACATGGATAACTCCAATACATACAATATATTCATATTGTATAAACTAAGTACTCTGAAATAACAAAGGGCTTTGAAATGGAAAAAATGTGGATTCTGAGTTGGTACACGAGATTTAAATTCAGTCTTGACACTGGTCTCTAGGAATCTGTGCTTTCTGTTTTTTTATGAATTTTATAACTTACATGGAACTTCATAAAACTAAAAAGCCTCTGAACACTTACAAAAACAAAACTAAAAACCCCCCAAATGAAGAGGAAACCCACAGAATGTGAGACAATCTTTGACAGCTACACATTTGAGAGAGGGTTATTAAACGCAATATGTAAAGAAGTCAAGAAACAAAGCACCAAAACAACACAACACAAACAAATAGATGAAAAAAAAAAAAACATTGTATTAAAAAGAAATGAGGGAGATCCAAGATGGCGGCAACCAGCGTGCACCGCTTTTGAGAGGCATAGGATTTGAAACTCTGAAACTAGTGTAGTGAGTGGACGGGCAGCTGAAGCCGGAAAATCGACATTGTGCTTCCTGAAGGAGGGGGTACATCACAGGAGGTCAGACTCGGGACTTCTCTGTGAATGGAGAGAGGCACTTTCCTTCTTCAGGCCTCCCTCCTCGGAGGAGGAGCTGAGACACAGAGCCAGTGACACAGAACCTGCTGCCTGAGAACTGAGACAGAGAGGCAGGGATACTAACACCTCAACCTCAGCACCCAGCTTCACCCGCTTGCGGAGCCGGAGATCCACAGTACAATCCTGCCTGGGTCCCACGCCTGCGAGCGGCCGGCTGTACCGACTCCACAGAGCCTGACTGTAGGAGCCGCTCGGTCCCTCAGTGGCGTACAGCAGGCTGTGCAGCCACCGAAGTCCGGTAGACCTGCAAAACCACCCAGGTGCACCAAGCGCCAAGCCACGGTAGTGGCTCCACAAGACTTCCCGACAGGCACCTAGACACCCCAATTCTGCAGCTGCAGCTGGACTCGGGTACAGCGGCTGCAACACCACTGAGCTGTCTGAGCGCACATTTGGCTCAGTAGGTCCAATCCTGCCAGAAGAGAAAAGGAGGAGCCCATGTGCTTTATAATTTGACCTGCTAGAGAGTGAGTGCTCCCCAAGTGCCTGCAGAGCCCCAGATCCAGGGTGCTTCTAAGCTAGGAGCCAGACATCAGAAATCTCACCCACACACGCATTGTTGGAAACACAGGGTTTCTTGGAAGTGCTGGCTCTGTGGAGCTACCAGCGGAGTTTAGGCAAATAACTCCTGGAACTCAGTTAGAGATGAATACCAGTAGCCTGTAGATGACTGACGAACTCAGGGAATTTGCGCTTGCAATAACTTCAGCACGCGCGACCCCTTCGGTGACCACAAGACGCCCCTCCCTCACACTGAAGGCCTCTACATTCTCTAGCACATGCAGGCATACACGCTTGCCCACATTTGTCCTTCTGTGCCTGCGGACTTTCCTTCCACAAGTACAGCTGAAACACCAAGGCACACACTGAAACCAATGGACCTCTCCCATCTCCCTGAAGAATTCTCCAGAGGCCAGAGAAAGAAGGTACGAATCTGAACTGCAGAACCCAAGAACAAACAGTGAAGGTTACAGATAAGCAAATGGCCAGAGGTCGGCGAAAGAACACACCCAACTAAAATCGGGAAATCATGGCTTCACTAACAACCCCCCAAATCAATGGATACTCCAGTTCATCAGAAACACAGGAAAATGACCTTAAGGATATGCTTATCCAGTTATCAGAGTCACATAAAGAGGAAACTAACAAATCTCTCAGAGAAATAGCCACTCAAATACAGACAGTTAAAGAGGAAACAAACAAATCTCTCAAAGAATTGGCCTCCAGGTGGAGGCAAAGAACGAGGAACTGAACAAAGCTCTCAAAGAAACACAGGAAAATACAGCCAAACACATAGAGGGACAAGTAGAGACAAAGTTAGTGGCATATAGAGAAGAAACGAACAAAAAAATAGAGGCCATCCTACAGAGACAGGAAGCCACATTCAAACAGATGAAGGAAATGGTGCAAGACATAAAAATAGAATTAGAATCAATAAAGAAAACACAAACAGAGAAAACCCTGGAGCTGGAGAACTTAGAGAAAAGATCAGGAACCACAAAAGTAAGCATCACCAACAGAATACAAGAGATGAAAGAGAGAATCTCTGGTGCCGAAAATAGGCTTGGAGAAATTGATACTTCTCTCAAAGAAAAAGTAAAATCGGAAAAGTTCCAAACACAAAACATCCAAGAAATCAAAGACGCCATGAAAAGGCGAAATCTAAGAATAATAAGAACTGATGAAAAAGAAGATTCCAGTCTCCAAGGTCCAGAAAATATCTTCAAGAAAATCATAGAAGAAAATTTCCCCAACTTTAAGAAAGAGATGTTTATAAACATTCAAGAGGCCTACAGAACACCAAACAGACTAGACCAGAAAAGAAAATCCTCACATCACATCATTCTTAAAACACTAAATAAACAGAACAAAGAAAAGATATTAACAGCAGCAAGGAAAAAGGTCATGTAACATATAAAGGTAGACCTATCAGAATCACATCTGACTTCTCATCAGAAACTACAAAAGCCAGAAGGGCCTGGGCAGGTGTCATGTAGACCCTAAGAGACCACAGATGCCAACCCAGACTACTATACCCAGCAAAGCTTTCAATCAAAATAGATGGGAAAAAAACAAAATATTCCATGATAAAACTAAATTTAAGCAATTTCTACACAGCAAACCTGCCCTACAGAAGATACTAAAAGGAAAACTCCAATCCAACGAAAACAACTATACCCAAGAAAACATAGGATACAGATGTTCCTACAAAAATTAAAAGAAAACAAGCAATGAAAAAGAAATGGGCCTGAGATCTGAACAGTTTTCAAAAGAAAAAAAATGGCTAAGAAATATCTCAAAAAATGTTTATTTTCCTTAGCAGTCAGGGGAATACAAATCAAAGCAACTTTGATATTTCATCTTACTTCACTCAGAATGGCAAAAATCAATGGATAACAGACAACACATGCTTGAGGGGATATGGAGAGAAGAGAACCCTCATTCATTGTTGGTTGGATTTTAAACTGAAGCAGGCACTGTAGAAAGCAGTGTGGGAAATGATCAAAAAAGTTCAAAATAAATCTACTCTATCACCCTGCTATAGCACTCCTTAACATATGCCACAAGGACTCTCCATCCTAATCCACAGATACTTGCTCAGCCACAATCACTGCTGCTCTATTCACAAAATGGAAACAGACAAATGATGAGTAGATAATGAAAATGTGATACATATATGCAACAGAATAATATTCAGCTGTGAAGAAAAATGCAATCACAAAATTTGGAGGTAAATGGAAGAAACTAGAAAAGACTGTATTGAGAGAAGTAACTTAGATCCCAGAAAGACAAAAATTAAATGTTCTCTCATCTAAGGTCAAATCTTTGTATTTGAGGAAGGGGAGCTAATTAGGAAAAGTGAGATAAATACAGAAGAGGAATAGGAGGAGGAGGTGGCAGAGACTAAAATAACAAAACCCCTGCATGAGAAAGTGGAGATCCTTTGGCTTCCAACTCTTTGGAGTTGCTAGTCAGGATTGTTCAAGAGACCAAACATTATAGGCCCTTGGTTGCCTTCTAGAAGTGGAAAGCAAATGCCTGTTGCTGAAGACACCATACCCTTCACAAACAGGGCACAGCAGTCCCTGAACTAGAATTGACTAGAAAGCCTTCTCCCTCAGAAGCAGTTTTAATGGTACCAGAAGACACCAAGAGAGCTTCCTGAGGAAGAAAGCAATCAAGCTATGCTACCTATAGACACAATGACCAGCATAACCTTAAGAGTGTAGGGCTTATACTCTCAAGAGTGTTGATAATCACATACTTTGGTGATTATCAACAACTCTCTAATTAGACTAGAGACCTACTCAACAAAAAAGAAATTATGGCTGGTACTGGAAACCTAGCCAACTACTAGGGCTACTGAGGTCGTCTATCTTGGAGGAGAACCTACAACTTTCACTTAAACAAAGCAGCATTAATACTTTACACTGTAAACACTTGTCCTTACCCCCACAGTAAGTGGGGTCCTCACTCCTCATCAAGGAAGCCTCTCTTTCCAACAGATGGACCCACAACAGAAAACCACAAAGACCCAAAATGCAGAGTTGTGGAGCTGAATCCCACTGGATATATCTATAAAGCAATTTCCAAACCTAAGGCTCAGAAAACATCTCAGAAAAAAGGGCTGAAGGCCTATAAGAGCCAGAGTTTGCTGTGAGATCGTATCTACTGGGAAGACCAGAAGATACATCCATAAAGTCTAACCAACATGACTGCCCAAATGTATGTTGAACAAGGATACCAACAATATACATGACAAAAGGATTTGGGAGGGTGGGAGGACAAGACACCAGGCCTCAAACCAAAGAACTCTAAGTAACTAAAGAATGCTGAGAGCAGGAAAAATAGTCTTGTCCAGGGAAGAGCACACCAGTTGGTTATCCAACACCAAATGGTCAGCCTTGAATGCACACATACAAGTAACACTGTACAGACTCAACAGGCTGTATTTATGTATTTAAGAATGTATATGTACACATATATATACATGTGCATGTAGTAACAATTAATGAAAAAAGAGGCTCCATTTTGAAATATAGCAAGGATAGGTATATGGGAGAATTTGTGGGGGAGGAAAGGGAAAGGGTAAATGATAGAATAATAAAAAAAAAATTTTAAAAATGTTTCTGCTTTAATGATTTCACTATGTTGCCTGGGCTGAGATGAACTCTAGATACCTCATTCTTAATTCCTCAGTTAGTTTTTTATTGAAGACATGCATTACCACACAAAGCTCATCAATCAAAAGAATCTCTGTCAAGGAGCCTAGGACCCTTTACATAGCCAACCATGACCTTGATGTCCTGACCTTCTGCCCCTACTTCCCAAGTACTGGGATTACAGATGTGAGTCTAGATTTTCTTAACTTTGAAATGAAGAATTCATCACAAACTAGGTGTTTGGAATTCCTAATGGACTTTCCATTAAAATAATATTATACAAAGATGTTTTCTAGAAAAGCATATGATGTAAACCCTATTCTGTGTCTTTGCAATGAGTTACTTACAAAGTGTACTAAGTGAAACAAAACAAGAAACTATTTTCTTACTAAAGAACACGAATTTGCAGATTATGAAAATATTTTAGGAAGTAAGCAAAATAATTCTGCACTCAGTGTGAAGTACACACATGAGCAAGCACTATAGGATTATAGACTGCTTGCTGCTGGTTCTTCACTGCTGTCAGGCACAAGTTTTCCCATCTGCATAGTTTTACTATGCACCATTGTACATGAGAATAGTATGTATAATATGCAATGAGTAAAAACTGAGATGATAAAAGTTGAAAGGACAGTGGTTTTCCTGAACATAAGACAACTGAAAAGAGATGAAAGAATATCAACTCAGACCAATATTCATATGCAAAGGTAAGAGAAGAAAAGGAAAAAAAAAAGTGGGAATTTCCTAGAAAAGGATTTCTTGAAAAGTAATAGGGAAAAAGCATGATTTAAACAACTACCAAGTGAGGCTGGAGAGATGGTTCAAAGGTTAAGAGCACTGGCTGTCCTTCCAAAGGTCCTGAGTTCAATTCCCAGGAACCACAAGGTGGCTCATAATCATCTATAGAACGAGATTTAGTGTCCTCTTCTGGCCTGCAGGCACACATGCAGGCAGAATACTGTGTAAGTTACAAAAAAAAAAAAGTAAACTACCAAACTGAAGTGATTAACAAACAAACACAAAGTCTGCTAAGTGATTTCAAAGAGGAAGAAAGTGTTCAATTCCTAGGATACTAACAAAGCAAAGAAGCTTAAATAACTGTGGGTTTCTATATATGATACATTAAGTTAGTACTTGTATCATGGACAGAAATATTATTTTTGCATTCAGGAAAAAAAAAATCACAATTAACTGACTTATTTCAGAATACAGAATCCTAAAAGACAGGAACTATGGTTTTCCTCATTTTTGTAGAATCAAATGTATTAGACATGATGTTAAATGGGAGAAAAAAAATCTAAATTTTGGCACTCATTTCATCTATAAACAGGTCATGAGACACAAGTGGTACAGAAGCAGCTACAAGTGACAATAATTATGACTTGGTAAAAATGGAGGTACCATGAACTCATCACAAGAAATACTTCTGCATATTTCACAGACTTATCTTCAAAAGGGAAGAAAAGATGGTGATAAAAAGAGTTTTATAAAGTTATAAAAACCCCTTTGAAATATTTATTGGTTAAATACTCTGAAGTGATTGTTCTAAAACAAGGCACAACTTAGACATTAAGGATATAGGGTTCTTTGAAAACAGGTTATAAAAAGTCATAAATTAAGGGATAGGGAAGAAGGCTAATTGTATCTAACAGCATAAGGAAAAGAATATTATTTCTCAACAAAATACATATTTCATATACATGAAATATAGTAAAAATATTGGTTTTCTTTGGAAAGTTACATTCAATAAAAATACACACTAATCTTATATTTAGGCCAAAATTAACAAAATTGAATTCCTATATCCATTTACACATACACTTTAAAGCACTACGCCCCTTTGTAAACATCTAAAACAAGTAATAATAAGCAGTTCATCAACATCTCTTTATTAAAATAAATAAGATATTATAACTCACCTAAATTATCTCTTAAGGCACTAGCTTCCTCATGGGTTTTGAAATTATAATTTGGTACCAGTTTAAGTCTCATGCGGGAATAATTTTCTACATTAGCTAGTTTCCAGTGTATTCGATTCTGTTTCCTATAAACATTTACAATGAAATAAAATTATTTTAATTATAAAGACTGAAGGGTATAAAAAAAAGTATTTAGTACTTCACAATTGTTCAACACCATTTAGAAAATGTCCAAGAATAGAGCATTTGCCTAGTATGCGTAAGGCCCTGAGTTTGATTACCAGCATTACAGGAGAACAGGGAGTGAAGGATGAATAAGAACAAGGTATAATGACACAATATATGCAGTTACTATAATGAAACTTACCACTCTTTATATGCTGGCAATTACTTTAAAACAAATTTAAATGTTTACATTTACCATCTGGACTATTGTCGAGAAAATGAGTATGTTTAACTACAATGTATCAACATTAAAAAAAACAAACATATACATGATGAACCTAAGAGAGCCTAAATTATTTACCAAAGATGCCATGTGATTTAATGGTAGAGAAATAAGAATCAAACACTACCTTTCAGACTTCTAGCTTCATTACTTTATTCTTTCACTATTAAATGTAATTTTATAACCACAATACTATTAAAAAGTATTATTACAAGTAAAGGTAACTACAATGAATCAAAGACCAAAATATCAAAGTTGAGGAAGTAAAACTCGTAGAAGAAAAATCAAGTTTTGTGACCTTGGACTTGGAAATGTTCTCCTATGAAAAGCATGTAAGAAATAAAAATTGACCCATTAAAATTGAAAACAATACAGCCAGTCCTGATGAGACTTGGTAGGCTAGGGTCAGAGGGAAGGGGAGGAGGACCTGTCCTATCAGTGGACTAGGGGAGGGGCATGGGAAGAGATGAGGGAGGGAGGTAGGGATTGGGAGGGTTGGTGGGAGGGGGCTACCGCGGGGATACAAAGTGAATAAACTGTAATTTATAAAAATATAAATAATTTTTTTAAAAAGTGAAAAAAGCAAATAAGAAGGCTGAAACTGAGTCTAGGTCATCTTTCTGAGTATAATATCTGGTTTGTTTCAGTGTTCAATGAACATGAGTATTTCAGAATAAAATATTAATTATTTAAAAAATGAATAACTTCTGAACAACAGAGGTCACTATCAAGGAAGTGAAATATCATCTACATATTTGAAAATCACCTGAAGATCAATGAGAATACCCTAAGAAAAGTTAATGATCAACTCAGTGTGATAACAACGGAAAGGAAACAAGCCAACACTTTTTCAAAGAAGAAATATAAATGTCCAACTAGCACATGAAACATTCCTCTATACTGCTAGTTATTAGAATGATGGAAGGCAAAATTATAAGATAATGCTTTATACACAATGGAAGGGCCATCTGAAAACCTGGAAAATGACAAGTATGAGCTAGAATGTGGTGAAAGTAGAAAACATTTACTGACAATTCTTGATAAGTTAAACATGAAATATGAGCCAGTAATTGCACTTGTATTATACACCCTAAAGGATTAAAAGCATGCTCTCAAACCAACATTTGGACACAGCTGTCCACAGCAGCACTGTCACAGTAGCCGAAAGGTGGCAAACAACTAAACCTTTATCTTTTCATCAGCTGGTCAAAAGATAAACGAAAGGTTTACTTCGCTATTTTTAAAAAACAAGAGCTTTAAAATATATACACCAGAAAAGAAATAGCAGTATGAAGTTGAAAATGTTGAAATACATAACATCATTCACTCTAGCTCAATGAGGTGATGTCAGAAAGGTGCAGATGTTCTAATGTAACACTAGAATCTAAAGTCCAACACAAAGTAGTATCGGAGTAAAAGGAAAATTGACCATATGATAAATAACACATAAAAACAAACCTCTAATCATCACAAACCAATTCATAAAAAGACAATTCAAAGTACACTCTAAAAAACTGAAATAAAGAGATAACAGGCTTCAAAGATTAATATCACATTTCTAAAACATAAAATATGCACCTACTTTTCAGCCCAAGGCCCCCTTTCACATGTAAGATAGAGCCGTATTGCCTTCCAGCGTCTGAAAGCAGTCAGCTGTTGACTGCTAAGCTGTTTAATCATATTATTGTACCTCAAGTTCTCTTGACGTGCTTTTCGATTAAATGGCTCCACAAAATACTCCTGAAATAACAGCAAAAAGAAATAGATTTACAATTTTTTAATTTGACCAAAAAATGGCATATGACAAAGGCTGTGTGACACATGACTTTGTTTCATTACAATATTTCTCTTTGATGAGGATGGTAGAATTTCAGCTACGTTCTACTTAATATATATATATATATTTTTTACTCATATAAAAGAAAAACCACACACACACTCACATACAAAAATCTATGGCTCAGTAAAAGACATCTACTACTGAGCCTATCAAACTGAGTTTGCTCCCATAACCCAAGGGTGGTGGTGGTGCCTGCATGTAATCCCAATACAAAGGAGGGAGAGTCAGGAAGATCTGACATTTACGGTTATCCTTAGCTGTATATCAAGTTTGAGGCCACTCCAAAATACATGAGACTATCTCAAAAAAAGAAAAGATTAGGATCTAAAATGGCAGCTGTAACTCAAGAGAAACAGGCTGTCAAATAAATTGTAGCTGTACTTGTAGAATAGAAATCAATTATCTGGGATAGGACACTAAAACAGTTCACTGCTGAGAAAACCGAGGAAGTCATAAAAATCCATGAAAATGATAGGTATCAACTCATCACTGCCCTTATCATGTGGATATAATGTCTTCATTCAGTGTTTCGTAGTAGGCTGAGATGCGGCTTGGCTGGTAGCATGTCTGCCAAGCAAGACCCAGGATCAGTCAACAAAAAGTACTAACTGGATACAGTATCAAGTGCTTTGTCCAGTGTTTTGAAAGTGAAAATATGAGGGTTAAGTTCAAGGTTATCTTTGCAGGTACAGAAAATTAGTTCAAGGACAGCAGGGGCAATATGAGACCCTGCTTCAAAAAATAAACATGCAAGTTAAGTTAGGCAGAATTTGCCAGTAAAACACTCAGGCCTTGCACTTTCTCTTTTTGAAGGTATATAAATATAAATTAATAGATCAAAGACTATGCAGTTTACCTTTATAAACATTTTAAAACCTCTGTCTAGCAAGAACTTGATGGATGTGAATAGTCATATTTTTATGTGCTAAGCAACTCACAGTGGTTCTGATCTCTGTGGGGTCATAGCATGCCAACACTCCCTCTTTCATTTCTGCTACAAGTAATTTTTCACTTCTCTTATTTGTCAGGCTGACTAGAAGTTTACTAATTTTGCTAATACTTTGAAGAGTCAGATTTTGGATTCATCAATTTTTCCTATTTTTCTGCTTTTTATGTATTTATTTTTAGTTAAATTACAAGGCTAGAGAGATGGTTCACACCTACCCATAATTACAGTTTCAGGGATTCAATGTTCTTTTCTGACCTCTCAGACTCCTGCACATACACTGGCACAAACATGTATTCAGGTATACACACATACACACACACACAACTTTACATTTAAAATTTTTTATTGAATTTATTTGTGTTAGTGAGGAGTACATCAAGATACCTTAGCAGGACCTACTATAGATTTTCAACTTAACAAGCTTAAGTTGAAGCATAATTTGTAAGATTTACATAATCATTACAAGTCATGTTTTAGTATTAAAATGGTTACTGACCAACTGTTTTATCCCAAGTTTAGACTCCAAATTTCTGGTGGAATTACTTTCATATGAATAGTAAATGCTTGTAGCCAACATGAAAAACTTGAAGCTGGGCGTGGTGTTACACGCCTTTCATCCCAGCATTCAGGGATGCAGAGGCAGGCTGAGCACTGGAAGTCTGAGGTCTACAAAGGGAGTCCAGGACAGCCAGGGCTATACAGAGAAACCCTGACTCGAAAAACCAAAACAGAAGAAAGGAAACATTGAATAGTTTTTACCTGAAATTTCAGCTTACTCTCTCCGCCCTCTCGGTCTCTTTTATGCATGTTCACCATTAAGGCTTCATAACAATTCTTCCAGTAAAGTGCCATGTTCTCATGACTATCATAAAATGTATGTGTTTCATACTGCTTCATGTAAGGTACAATCTTAGTTTTTAAAAAAAAAAAGAAATACACAGAATTTACACACTCCTCCATAAAAATGATAAATCAGCAGAAAAGTCTTGCTCAAAAAAGGTGAAACTTAGGAACTGGAGAGATGGCTCAACAGTTATAAAGTACTAGCTGAGAGCAACCACAAGGACCAGAGTTCAGGTCTCAGCACTCACATAACTCCAAGCACCCTGTAGCTCTAGCTCCAAGGGATCTCATACCCTCTTCTTGCCTGTGTGCAGCACATACCTGCACATGTACACATGCGCATGCTCATGCATGCACACACACAAACAATTTAGAATAATTTTTAGGGCTGGAGAGATGGCTCAGAGGTTAAGAGCACTGTCTGCTCTTCCAGAGGTCCTGAGTTCAATTCCCAGCAACCACATGGTGGCTCACAACCATCTATACTCTGGTGCCCTCTTCTGGCATGCAGATGTACATGCAAACAGAGCACTCATATGTAAAATAAAGAAATCTTTAAAAATAATAATAATAATTTTTAAAACTTACGTATTTTTCAATGTAAACTTGCCATTCATTTGAATTGCAGTATTCTTGAAAATCTTCAAAAAATGAAACACTTCCATTGGTAAACGGCAAAGAAGGTAGGTGCAAGTTCATAAAAAGAAGCCCATAAATTTTAGAAACCAGAGTACGGAAAAGGGGAATCAGAAAAGAGTAGATTTCTGTCTGTTCCTTGATTGAGCGACTTAGAATATGTTCTAATTTCCCTAAAATATAGCACGCCTCCTCTTGGTTTTCAATCACTTTGGTCTGAAGAAGGGTATTTAGCTTAGCTGATGCCATTGCACAAACCTGGAAGAAAAAAAAAGTTAGATTAAAAAAAAAAAAAAGAGCATACTAAAGCAAACATTCAGTACTAGCAAAAGCCCTTACTCCAACAATTCAAAAGTTTTATATATTAACTGTCAATAATTATAACTCTCACTTCCAGACTAACAAGTGTGTTACATTTTCATAGACATTGGCATAAAAAAAGAAGCTGTGATGAAAGACAAAGACCTACAAAGACTTTCATAAGCACACTACTACCATCTGACCTGCCTCCCCAACTCCAGTGCTAAGTGAGACAAAAACCACAATGCAGCAGCACACAGATTGGCTGCTCAGAGATAACACCCTAGGACTTTACGCTGGGCTTTCAACTGATCTTTGCTATAAAGAAAGGGATTAGTTTTGTTACAATGGCAGTCATCAAACTTGCCTTTTGCTCTAAAAAGAAACATGGCTTCTATCTTCCAGAGTCCTTCACTATACAAAAACACACACACAAAAAAAAAGCGGATAGCCACGTGTGATGGCATACACATTTAACCCCAGCACTTGGGAGGCACAGGTAGGCAGATCTCTGTGAGTTTGAAAACAGCCTGGTCTATAGAGTGAGTTCCAGGACAGCTAGAGCTGCATAGAGAGACTACATCTCAAAACAAAACAAAACAAAACTACTTCTGGACAGCCAAAACTAAACAGAGAAACCCAAAACAAAACAAACAACAACAAAATAGTTAGCAGGAGCAGTCTGTCACATGATAAACAGAAACACAACAGACCTGTGGGGAACTTTCTACAACAATGACTGTAGAAGTAGCACTATATTCCTTGGGAGATTAAGTTGAAAATAGGTTCAATTGCCATTGGCAACCATTTGCATCCTTGAGGGAGGAGAAGTGTAGTGAGAGAGAAAACAAATCTCAAAGAAGTCTATTTAAATGTCTTGTTACATAAAATTGTAACTATTTCAACACACATAGATAAATAAAAAATCTGCGTCCTTAACTAGAAATTTAAATAACGTTAAACTTCCTAGGGCAAATACATATTAAGAACACAAGCCCAAGTAAAAGAAAACTCTCCATTACTATTCATTTAATCTCTAGCACTGCAGAGGAAGGAGCTAATTAAGAAAGAGTTTAAGGAAAAAGGAATGAGAATACAACCACTGGATTAGAGCTTCTTTGCAATAGGACAACCTTATGTTAAAATTTTAACTTCTACATCCTCTTAGCAACATTACACCTAGTTTAGGAACAGCACTGGAAATCAGTCTCTTCCCTACCTCCTTGTATCAAATAATAAAACTATTTAAAAACAAAACAAAACAGGGTTAGGGAGATTGCTCAGTAAATAAAATGCTTGGAAGACCTGAGTTTGAATCCGTAAAGTGCATATAAAAGCTAAATTTGTTAGTGCTTGACTGTAATCCCACCACTCCTACAGCAAGACGGGAGAATCCCTGGAGGCTCACAGGTCAGGTAGCCTAGTGCACCCAGCAGAAAACAACAAGATCCTGCTCCAAATAACGGGAAAAGTTGAGGACCAACATCCAAGTTTGTCCTCTGACTTCCAGTGGCACGCTATGACACAATGTGTTTTCCCTTTCTCTCTCTCACACACAAACAGAAGAATATTTATCAATTCTAAAAGTACCCAATGAGACTAGAAAAATGACAGATCAAATATCAGAGCAATTTTCTAAACTTTGAGATTTTAGTTTACAATAGGAACAATAAATATTCTTTGTGAACACATTTTATCTTTAGTTCTAAAATCTAGTAAAACAATGTACCTAAATTTATACATTTTTGTGTTAGTGTGCAGGTGATTCTACTGGCTGCCCTCAGGGACCTAACAACATCTATGTCTTCATCTGCCAGCACCGCCTGGTGTGACAGGTGTATGTGGCCTATTATAGGACCACCCGCCACTCCTAGTGTGCCCTCTCTCTCTTGAACTTTCTCCTTCTCTCTCTGTTCAGCTGTGTCTCTGTGTGTCTTAGGGGTCCCCTTTCCCTTCCTCCCTCTCCTTTCTTTCTGCCCTGTCTCTACATCTTCTACAGGTCCTCTTCTCCTCACCCCCCAAAACTTCCTTATACCAGATCTGCTGTGTGGCATAATTCCTCAGGGGGCACACCTTGGCACGGGCCCACCATGGTAACCCCCTTGCTACCGCATCATTATAGATCATAACATTCTGTGCACAATTTTATATATTTATACATAAAATCTAGCAAAACCAAGTACATAACAAAACAATGTACATAATAGCACATACATAATGCTTGATAAGTGAACAAATACATAATAGAGTATAAAATTTTGGATTAGTTAAACAGGAAAAGAGTTCAAGAAGAAAATTATTATGAATCATTTTTCCTAAAAATACAATTCTTATATCTCTGCTAGCTATTTAGCACCTAGCAAACAACACTGAATGCATATGATCTATCAGTAAACCCTATAAAAGGAAATCACAGAGTCCTAGTTCTGAGGAAAAAAAAAAAAAAAAGCTGCTTATGCTCTTTTCTGATCTTATGAAATTGAAACTTCAAGTGATACAATACTGAAAAGGGAATCTGAGAGATGGTTTAACAGGTAAAGGTGTGTGCCACAAAGCCTTATGACCTGAGCTTGAACCCAAAATCCATGTGGTGGACTGAGAGAACTGACTCCCTGTTCTGGAACATTTCTGTACAATGCAGGCAAATGAGATAAATACAATGTAATTTAAATAATACTAAAAAGTCATTATTATACACTTATTATAATTATGGTATGTAAGAAGATAAAAAAATAGCATGAAAGAAATATCAAACCTGCAAACTGCCTCTTCCAATGAATTCTAGAAGCAACTGGATCTGAATTTGAGAGAGTTTTACCCAGACTGGATTCTCAGAATACCATACTGACAGACAGTCAAGCAGCTGCATAGTATCTTCTAAAAGCTATCAAAAGAAAAATTGAGAAATAAAAACATTTTTTTAAAAAAAATGTAATGATGATCTTTCTCCAACAACAGTAATAAGTACTGTAAAAGTAGTTCAATGTGCAGTTGCTATAAAAAAGAGCCCTGGAGGAACAAAATCTGTTGGCTCTTCACCTCATGCATGTTTATTGCATCCAATTAAATATTAAAGCTCCAAAAAGAAGTGATGCAAAGTTTTTCTTTAAATAATTCTAAAGTAGCTAGAATATTTATCTATTTACAATTTTGTTTTGTTTGCAACAGCATATCACATTGTAGCCCAGGCTGACCTGGAACTCTCCATGTGGCACATACTGGACTCCGACACTCTGTCTGCCTTACTAGCATAGATGCTAAAATCACAGGCCTTGACCACTACTATACTAGGCCCTAGAATGCAACCTCAAAAGACCATTACTAACCTTCTCCGTCCACATGTTGGAATTGACCACCCCTTCTGACTGCAGAAAATCCTGTATGATCAGCAGGAGTCGGAAGGCATTTTCAGCAGTTACAGGACTACTTTTTGCATCTCTGTTTTCTGTGACTGCCCATTCTAACATCTTCTGTAGCAAACTAAGTGTAAAACAAAGTCCTTTAAAAATCTATCAGTTTAGGAAAAACAAAAACAAAAACAAAAAACCAACACCAGTTATTTATTAGCAGCATTGCAACTCCAAAGAAACACTCTCACAGCAGGCTGCCACTGAGATTGCAGATGGAGGACTTCTAGGGAAAATGGAGATTCAGAGAAGAAACATACTCTATTCCAAAGAAAAAAACAGAAGACAAAAATTAGAAATCAATAGAGGTAGTGAAGGAATACTTGGGAACCACGGAGGAAAAGCCAGGAAGCATGGCTGCAGACTCTGAGACCTCTGCAAGGAAAGGGAAAGCAGAAGCTGCCATGGCAGGGGCATAAATGCCTGTAACCAAGTACTGATGTAGACGTGGGTTGTGAGAGTGAAGACAAGTGGATTCCAGGGGCTAAGCAACCTCTTTTCAGCCCAGATGAAGAGGTGCATTTCAGATTCAGAGAAAGACTGTCTCAAAAAATAAACTGGAGATCAACAGAGGACGATACATCATGTCCTCTAACCTTTTTAGTGAACACTAATGCTCCTTGTCTTAGCTGCTTTTTACTGCTATGATAAAGCCTACGACCAAAAGCAACTTGGTGTGTGTGCACATGTGTGTGTGTGTGCGTGTGTTGCCTCACATGTTGTAGTCCCACACTGAGGGAAGACCAGGCAAGAACTCAAGAACCTGAGGACTGAAACTGAAAACAGCAACCATGGAGGAACTCTGCTTATTGGCTTGCTCTTCATGGCATACCTGGGCTGCCTTCTTATATTACCAAAGACCACAGGCCCAGGGTTGGTAATGCCCAAAGTAAACTGTTGCCCTCCCACATCAGCCATTAATCAAGAAAATACCCCACAAGCTTTCTTATAGGTCAGTCTTATGGAGGCATATTCTCAATTGAGATTTCCTCTTTCCAAATGATGGTAGCTAGTGTCTAGTTGACAAAATCTAACCAGCACACTTCCTTAAATTGTTCCATGAAACAGCAAAGTAAGGGACATTTATCAGACGTGATACCAAACCAGATACAGACACAATGTGGTGGTTTGAATGAGAATGGACCCCACAGGCTCATGTGTTTGAATACTTGGTCCTGCTTGGTTTTGTCACAGCAATAGAAAAGTAACAAAGATACATAATAACAAGAAAAAATTTTCTTTAATGAATACAGCACAAAGATACAAAGCAATAAAATACAAAGCAATAAAAGCTGGTTGTGGCAGCACACACCTTTAATCCCAGCACTTGGAAGGAAAAAACAGGACCTCTGTGAGGTCAAGGCCATCCTGGTCTACAAAGTAAGTTCCAGGACAACCAGGACTACACAGAGAAATCAGTCTTGAAAAAAAAGAGAGAGAGAGAGAGAGAAACCCAATAAAAATTTTGCAAACCAAGTTCAAGAACACATTGACAAAATATTTTATGGTGATTAAGTTACATTCTAGAATGAAAAGATTGCAGAGAAATTTTAACATAGCAACATGGCTGCTTTGGCAAGGGAGCACATCTAAAGACGTGCTGGAATGATTCAGCTGGAATGCAGCAGACACATTCTGGATTATAACATGATCTGGCTGGAATATAGACACATCCTTACTAAACACCTTTACTTTCAAACTATGAAGGTAAAATTAGTTTATAGGGGAAAACAGCCATGTTTGAAAGTGCATCTAATTGAGAAGCAGACTAAATGACAAATCAGAAAAAAATTTGACAAAATGTGTCAGAAAGGAATATGTCCATCTATCCTGAGATCAGAACAGGAAAGAGAGGTTTCTTAAGAGCAGCGCGGGAGGAGAGAAGTTTGTTACTGAAACCTTTTTTTTTTTTAACCTCAACAGTTCTACAGAGACAGGTTGCAGAGAGAACAAGCTAGACACAGTGAAAGACAGAATGAGACAGAATGAGAAGCCAGAAGATTAAACATATTGAAGAATTTAAGGCCAGGTAGGGTAATTCAGTGAGAAGTCAGTTTGAATCAGTCAGCTTAATGAGGAGTTTGGGCCAGAACAGCTCAGTTGAACCACTCAGTGAGAGTTCAGAAAGATTTAGAAAGGTTTGAGAACAGCTCTCATCTCATCCCTTCATCTGAGGAATTAAGAACAGCATTTACAGAGCATGGTTCAACAAACACAAACCCTAAACAGAATATAAACATAAGAACAGAAGTCACATTATCATCTCATTAGGAGTAGAACATGTCCTCAACAAGGTGTAGGGCACCTTCATGATAAAAGCCCTAAAAGCTAGGACTTCCATGAAACACCCTTAACATAAGACTACATGACCAGACCAACTGCTAATATACTAATGGCACGGTTGGGAAATGAAAGCATTTCCTCTAACATCAAGTGTCTATTATCTGCTGTTACTCAATATAGTGCTAAAATCTTTCCTAGAACAAAGCAAAACAATGAAGTAAAAGGGATGTAGCAATGAGGAAAGAAGGAAGTCAAATGACCTACCTACTTGCAAAGTACATAACCCTACACTCTACCAGTAGACCTCTGAAACCAATTAATCCTTTGAATAAAGAAGCAATGGGAAAATTCACCATCACACTTAACAAACTTATAGATAAAGAAATCAGGGCTAGGAGAAAAATCTCATCTCATTCAGAATAGTTTAAAACAAGAAGAACAACAAACCTATGAGCAATTCTAACAAAAAAAGTGAATGGCTTCTACAACAGAAACCTTAGACACTAATAAAATAGAATACAACACCAGAAAATGGAAACACCTCCCCTACTCATGAATTAGAAGAATACAGATTCAATGTCATCCCCATCAAAATCTCATGACAACCTTCATACAGCTAGAAAAAAAATCCTGAAAATTCATAAAAAACACAAAAGACTTCACACAGCCAAAACACAAAGAACAACACAGCAAGTATCACGCCAGATATCACATGTATTACAGAGCAACAGAATCAAAACAAGTGTGGGACGAGCACAAGAAGCTTCATAGAACAATGGAACAAATTATTGGGAAATAAAGGTACATAGCCAGAGTCACATTATTTTGACAGATATAAAAACATATTTCGGAAAGTGACTTTATCAAATAGTGCAGGGGAAACTGTATTGTGACATGTTTAAGAATAAAAGGACAGAGATCCACATCTCCCATGTTGTATTAAAAATCAACTGAAAATGAATCAAAGACTTTAAGACTTGATAGTTTGAAAAATCAAATAGAAAAATTCAAGACATAGGTAAAAACTTCATATAGACACTCCAGCAGCATAAAAACAATACCAAGAACTGACAAAAAGCTTCTGAAAAGCAAAAGGAAAAAAAATCACCACAGTGAAGAGAAAGCCTATAAAATGAGAGGAAAAAAAATCTTTGTAACTAGACATCAGACAGGATTAGTATCTCAAATGTATAAAGAGCTATAAAATTAAACTCCTCCCCCAAAAAGCTATCCAAAGAAATTATTTACAAAATTAATAGTTCTCCAAAAAATACAATCAATAAATACTAAAAAAGTGTTCAATGTCCTTAAAAATCAGGGAAACAAAAAGTAAAATTGCTTTTAGATTCCATCTCACTCCAGTCAGAATGACTGTCATCAAGATAATAAAGTACAGCAAACACTGGTGAGGATGTAGGAGAGAGGAACCTCCCTACACTACGGAGAGAAGGTAAACCTCTACTGAAATGTAGAAACCAGTGTGGAGGTTTCTCCAAGAGCTAAAAACAGAACAACCACATGAGCCATCCATACCACGCTTAAAAATCACTCAAATTCAAATATATTTAAATCTCTTGACAATGGAATTTGCTTTGTGCTTCTTTCTATATTTTACTAGAATAGTAAAACCTAGGAAGAGAAAATTGTAGTTTCTTTCCCCTCTTTACCTCTACTATACACTAGATTAAGTATTCAGGATTTAATTTTAGACTCCCATTCTCTCCGGGGGGGGGGGGGGGGGAGGTTTGCTTAAAAAAATTAGTAACTGAATGCTTACGTTAGTTTTATTTCATCTGATGGTCGAAGTAGCTCACTTGATATTCCTGGTTTAGTTAGTGCTGAAAACACTTGTCCTCGTTCAATCCAAGTGTCTTCATCAGACTTTTCTAGTCCTTTACACATGACACGACTCAAAATACTTGTAAGCAGCTGAAGAAGCTCCTCTTCACATCTCTATAAAAATATTAATATTAAATATTAGAAGGAAATGTTAAAAACATATCATAGAACCATCTACATATACTTACTATGTAAGATATTGTAAACATTTTTGAAGTTTATTATTTTTAATTATGTGTGGGAATCCGAGTCTGCACATGGGTATGTGCACATGAGTACAGCTGCTGGAAAAAAGCCAGAGCTTCAAATCCCCTCCTGGAGCTAAGTTACATATAGTTGTGAGCTGCCTGAGGTGGTTCTGAAAACGGAACTCAGGTCTTCTGGCAAGCAGCAAGTCCTCTTAACTGTTACCTCTTCTGCCCACTTTTAACAGGCCTTTATTGACTGGAGATATAAGATGTGGAAGACGCAGGCTTCGCTCTCAAGACAGTGAGGCGGGGGTGGAGAAAAGGCCTGGTTAAGAGTACTTCCTGCTCTTGCAAGAGACCCACGTTCAATTTCTAGCACCCAAACGGTGGCTCACAACCATCAATAACTTGAGTTCTAGGACATCCAATGGCCCTTCTGACCTCCACAGGCACCAGACACATACATGCATGTAAGGAAAACATTCATGAATAAACCTAACATGTGTGAGCCAGTATGTTCATTCCCTATTACCACACATATACATACAAATACACACACACCAAAACAAAAAAGCAAAATATTCCCAAGTGACTAGTAACAATCACTCTTCTAATTTTGGATTATAAGACTCAGAATGTAAATGGAAAATATTAGTAACAGTTCACATACTATAAAGGACCAGAAGTATAAAACTAGCATGTAGGAAACATACTTTGGAAAGATAAGAAAATTTACCTCTTGGCTTTCAAGGAGGGAGAAGTCCTCGCTAAAGCCCACTTCATTTGTGGTACTTCTTTCTTTGTCAGAGTGCACAGAAAAGGACTTGGTAGACTCTACTGGGGATGGTGTGCTGGGGGAGCTGTCCGGTACTTGACTCCCGCCATCACTCAGCTCACACACGTCAATTCCACTGAGATCTAAACTCAGATGGGAAGTGTTACTATGCCAGAATTCTTCTTGATTTTCTGACTTGAAAGATAATTCTCCTTCAGAGCTATCTTCTTGAAACATTGGTGTGTTTGAGTTCAGGGACTGACTATCTTCCAAGCTCCAATGATCTGAAGACACATCAGCTAATGTCATTTTTTCATCATCATGTCTTTCAAAGTTCCTCTTAACATCTTCAGTTGACAAAGGTTTATTTTCTTTCACTGAAATAGTCTTCCCATGTGTGTGAAGAGAATTTACATTTTCAAAATTTGCTTTTAAAAAAAGTCTAACAAAGGTGTCTTGCCAACCCACTTGCTGTGATATCTGGTAGGCTGCATCTGGCTGGGACTGCAAAATCTGTAATATCTGCAAAGAGAACACAAAACAAAAAGTGAAGGAAAAAAACCCACAAAATTCATAAAAAGTATACAAGTTTTTAATGACAAAGTCTCTTCAGTAACAGTAATGTGGTGAGGAACATTAGGAGGATGTATTTTCAAATTGTGTTCTACGTATGTGGTATATGTGAATGTGTGTGTGCAGATTCAAATGCTTACACTTGAGGCCAGAGATGGGTACTGAGTGTGTTATTCTACCACTCCCTGTCTTACTCCCGTGAAGCAGGGTCTCTCACTGAATCTGAGGCTAGGACAACGGGCAGCAAGCCTCAGCCACCTCGTGTCTCTAGCTCCTAAAATGCTGTGGTTGTAGGCAGGCCACACACAGCTGTGCACATGGGTGAGGGAAATTTGAACTCAGCTCTTCACACTCACGCAAACACTCTTACCCACTCATCCATCCAATCACCTAGAAGTATGTTCTTAATTACAGATGTAGAGCTATTTAATATTGTGGTTCTACCTAATCTGATAATACTCTTGCGCAGAGTAAAGATGTGCTAAAATACACAAAAGCTAAAATGACTGTCCACAAACCATGCTGGATGTTATTAACTTGTTTAGATAAAATATTAAGACGATAGTATACATAAAATATAATAAAGTGATCATTATCTCAATCAAATACTTTTTACATCTTGTTAAGTAAGGGTTATTGCGACTGACTGTGCCAGGCACAAGCTTGGAGAGTGTAGCCAAAGCACACAAGACACTTTACAGAACCTCGGCACTCTAAGGAGAGTGTTTGCTACTTCCATTTTTTTTCAAGTCAAGGTAATGACTACTTTTGCAGGAATATTTGTTTAGTACGTCTATATTAGCAAACAAATAAATAAATCACTTTAATTACAAAAAGTTAATTCCAGTAAGATGTATGTTATTATTTAGCTTACATAAGTTAAAGAATAAATTGTCACATGGCAATCTTCCTAAATAAGTTCCTTCTCTGAAATAAAAATAAGTTCTTAGCCAAGCAGTGGTGACACACACCTTTAATCCCAGCACTCAGGAGATAGAGGCAGGCAGATCTCTCTGAGTTTGAGATCAGCCTGGTCTACAGAGAGTCCAGGGCAGCCAGGGATTCACAGGAAAACCCTGTCTTGAACCCCAACCCCCTCAAACCACCTCCCTCAAAAAAAGAAGGATTACAACTTCAAAGTGAGGCTGAAAAACTTAACAAAGAACTGGGAATATGGTTATTTACTTCAGAAAAAAAGGAATAAGGAAGGGGGAAGAAAATCGGGAGACAGAAGAGAATGGAAAGGTAGTAGGAAGGAAAGTTACAAGCATTGAGGGTTCTGGTAGAGGACGGTATTTTCTGGTAATGAATTTTTGACCGTGAAAAAATATTTCAGAAAAATAAGTAAAGCTGAAAGTTGACATACTGGAGCAGGCCGTGGTGGCACACATCTTTAATCCCAGCACTCCTGAGGCAGAGGCGGGCAGATCTCTGAGTTTGAAGCTACCCTGGTCTCCAGGTAAGTTCCAGGACAGGCAGAGCTACACAGATACCCTGTCTCAAACAAAACAAAACTTGACATACTGATTTCTTATAATTTCATAAAGTTAATTATTTTCTTTTAAAAGAAACATTTTATTATTTATTTATATAATGTGTATATTTATTTAATTCAAGTTAGTCCTATACTATAAAGGCTGGCATCCAGCTTATGATCCTTTTGCCTGGGCCTTCTACGTGTTGTAATTACAACCATGTACCACCACATCCAATTGTAACTGCTTAGAAGATAATATATATTATGAAACAAGCAAACAAAAAACATATCTGCCACAAACTACTCAATGAATAACATAGTCACAATATGACATTGTTATTGTAAAAATATATCTTAAAAGTTTACTAACCTTTCTACAGAGGACCACTCTGACATTTACATATGTTCTGTGAGATATATATACTACAGATAACAGATCTTTGAAATTAATAACTGGATCTATGATTAAGAAAAAAAGTTAAAATTAAATTTCATAGATATTCAAAGAAAGAATAGTTAATTGTATAAATACTGAAATAATTATTCATTTTCCAAAGAGAACTATAGAGATGTTCAAATTTTCTCCATAAAACTTCAGGTTGATAACACTCCAATTAAGCCTAAATAACTTCTCTTTCTTTGACTGCCTAAGTATACTGTCTACACTGCAAGGATACAATACTATTATCTATCTTTTTCTATAAATATTTTGGATTATCAGTCAAGACAAGATCAAGAACATTTCTACACCCAGAGTATCTCCCATAAATTCTAATTTGTGGTTGCTTAAGTACAGAAAAAAAAATTATTCCAAAAATTAGAAAGAAACTGTCTCAAATTAGCTTTACCTTTAAAAACTTAAGTACCTTTTAAAACTTAAGCACCTTTCATACATATTTTTTTTTAATGCCTTTTCCTTGTTTAGGAAATCAATCATTAACTTAGCTACTCCCTCATGGACATTTAGTTTAAAGCTATGTCCCAAGAAGTCAAAAAGCAAGTACAGAGATATATTATCTGAGGAACACCTTGAAAAATCAAGTAACAGGTAATTTAAAAAGTAATCTGAGAAGGGAGATTTTTAACAAATCTTCCAGAGAAAATTAATTTATTAAACACATCACTGTTATTAGTTTAGTCATACCTGTATTAAGGATTTGATTAACAAGGTTTTTAATGAGAGACGTGTTAACTGGTGCTTCAGTAAGAAGGAGTCCCATTCCTGAATAGCCAACTTCTCTGAGACGGAGACGTTGCTTACTACGTTCATAAACATTTGTGCATTTTAACATCTGTTCCATGACCTGATCACAAAAAGTAAGTCTTTTTAAATTTATTTTTTATAATTTATCCGCTTTACATCCCAACTGTAGTCCCTCCCTTGTCTCCTCCTGGTTTCACCCTCACTCTCTCCTCCCCCTGTTCCCCTACCCTAGACCACAGAAAGTGGCTTGAAACCCTCCTCCTCTATCATCTGACCCTAGCCTATCAAGTCTCATTAGGACTGGTTGCATTCTGGCAAGGAACCCCACCAAGGGAAAGTGATCAGAGAATGAGCAAAGGAGACAGCCCCTGCTCGCCATACTAAGGGATTCACATGGAGACTGAGCTGCCCATGGGCTACATCTGAGCAGGGAGTCTAGGTCCTCTCCATGCATGGTTCTTGGCTGGTGCATCACTCTCTGTAGATCCTGTGGTCCCAGATTTGTTGGCTTGTAAAACAGTCTTTTCAATGCAGAGAAACATTGGATTCTGGAGCATTATCAATAAATTGTACTGAACCGTATCTGTATTCAGGTAAATAATGTTTAAAACTCTAGTTTAAATATGGCAGTTGAAAGAGTAGTGTACTGGAACTAGAGAGATGGCTCAGAAGTTAAGAGCACTGGCCGCTCTTCCAGAGGTCCTGAGTTCAATTCCCTGCACCCACATGGTGGCTCCCAACCATCTATAGTGAGATCCAGAGCATTCATGTACATAAAATAAATAAAATCTTTAAAAAAGAGAGAGTAGTATACATACGTAGCAGGCATGAAGAATACATTCATGAGTAAAGATATAGTTATTATTACTATTATTGTTATTAATCTTTTGGACAAGGTCTGATTATATTAAATTTTATTTGTTATGTTGATAGTTTGGCTTACTTAGGGTTTTTAGATGTGCTGGTAGATTTGGGGAGGGACATTAACCCAGGGCATGCTAAGTCAGCACTCTACTATTAACTATATTCCCATTCTATAGTATAGTTTTTATAATATACACATAACATAAAAAAAATGTAACTAAAGGAGTACAAAAATAATTTAGTCACAGAATATATATATGTATATATAGTGAGCAAATTTATATACTCACAAATGCCCCCATGATATAAAGAAGCTTATAAAATATTTGTACCTTAAAAATGATTTCTCTTAGTCTGTCAGAGTATTTCTGATTTAACAGCAAGGCATAAAGTAGGTCAGCATTTCCTGGTTCAAACATCAGTAAGAAAAGTTGACCTCTAGTTGGGCTGGTTCGTAGAAGACTGAAGAGTATATCCAAAATTCCAAAGAGCTTTTCAAGTTAAACAACACACACACACACACACACACACACACACACACACACACAAAACAAAAAAACAAAACAAACAAACAAAAAAAAAACATCACTTATGTATACAGGCAGCAAAAGGGCATATGTCTCAAAATAGTTATTTAACTAAATTTGATATACCCTGCTTCTTCTCTCTGGTCTCTTTAGCTTCTTCTTCTTCCTTTGGATAGCCTTTTATTATAATTCTTTAATATCTCTGAAACCATTCCTAGCCTGTTTGCGCATATAAAAAGAATTCCTCTTCAGGGTTTAACATGGTCTCAATATGTAAATCCTCCTACAAAACCTCACAAACAATCACACTCGTGTTTTACAGTTATCTGTTAACTTCTCTTAATTACGTAGATTCCACTAGGTTAAAAAAATATTACCTGCATTGCTAACTATATATATATAAACTTAAATATATATATTTAAGTTTTCCAGTTGGTAACAGATAATATACACCAAGAAAATTATGAAAACAAAATTTGAGAACAGCTAGGTACAACATCTGTGTAATAATGTGGATATGAAGTGTCATGATTTAGACTTGAAGTGTCTTTCTCAAAGGCTCATATGCTGAAAGCTTGTTTGGTTGCTAGTGGAGGCATTACTGAGGTGACCTGACCATCAAGACAATAGACTTCACCAATGGACTAACAGATTATTATGACAGACTAGACAAAGGTAATAGAATCACTGGGTGAAATAATAAATGGATTTGTGCCTTTGAAGGCTATCTCTTGTTCCTGGCCGCTCCTCATCTAGCTCCCTTCTGCCTTCTGACTGCCAAAACAGAGTGGATTTGCTCTGCTCTCCTAAGCTCCTGTACCAAATGCTCTGTCTCATCATGCCTTAGAGCAAGAAGGAAAAGGACAATAGGATGAACAATCAAATCATAAGCCAAAGGACGCTCTTCATCTTTGTAACAGCTTGTCTCTGGTACTCTGTCACAGCAACTGCTTTCCACACAGAAATTACAATATACTTCTTTAACTGTGTAGGATGTTGACAGTATCCAATACAATTTAAGTCATTAGACAATTAAGTAAGTTTATAAGATGACAAAGAACTTTGGAAGTTAAAATCCATTTCAGCCATAATACCTGTTCTTCTTCATGAGTAGCAGCTATGTAACCTATGATACTTTGGACTTCTTCATGAGTTCCACCTTTACAAAGAAAATATTTAATTAGCCCATACAAAGAAGTCCTTATTGTTTGAATATCATCTGGAGATAGCTCATTGCATGTAGAACCATGCCTGAAAGAGAAAACAAAAGTTGAACTATTAAGTACTTTGATAATTTCATATAAAAGAATTCATAAAGTTAAAATTAAAGCTAGTAAAAACTGGATAAAGGTACTTGTTACCAACCCTGACCACCTGACTCTGATCCTGGGACTCTTGTGGCAGGAGATAACCAACTCTCACAAGCTGTCCTAACTCCACACATATGCCATGGCATACGTACTCCTTGCCCTCATACACACACACACAGATACACACACACAACAGAAATGAATGCAACTTAAAAATTAAAAACCAAACCTTTCTAGGTGCTTGCCATAAAGTCTATAAAGTGCTTGCTGCACAAGCATGATGGCCTGAGTTCATTCCCCAGAACCCATGTAAAAAAGCTGGATATGGTAACACAAACTTGTGCTCCTCGAACTAGGAAGGCAGAAACAAGTAGATACCTGAGGTTTGCTACTGGCCAGCCTAGCCACACAGTGAGCTACAGGATAGGCAGAGTCCTTGTCTCAAAAAATCTAGGTGAATGGTATCTGAGGGAAAAGGACACCTAAGGTTGACCTCTGGATTCTCCACACACACATATGTACAAGCACCTATATCAGAGGAGTATACACAAAAGTAGCCTAAGAAGCTGACTCACTCCATCAATAATGTACTTGCTATGCAAGCCTAAGGTCTGGAGTGTAGGTGCCAGAACCTTTGTGATAAGCTGAGTGTGGCAGCTTTTGCTGGGGAAGGAAGATACAAGGGTTCTTAGGGTTTGTTGGACAGACATCCATTCTAGCCAAAAAGATGAGCTCAAGGTTTAATAAGACATCTTCTGTCAAAAACCAAGATGGAGAGCAATTGAGAAGGATGCCATAGGGGTTAAAAGATTTAGCACAGTGGTAGAGTATTTGCCTATCAAGTGCAAGGACCTGGATTTAGTCCTCACCTCGAAGAAAATGGACACCAGAAGCAGGGTGTAGTGTCCACACCTTTAATTTCAGCACTTAGCAGGGCCAGGAGATGTCTGTGAGTTCAAGGCTAGCCTGGTGTACACAAGAAGCTTTTTTTTTTTGGGGGGGGGGGGGCAGATAACACTGGAAGTTGTGGCCTCTGGCACCCATAGCATGTGCACATATTCTCCTCCCTCCAGCCCACAAACACATACAAACACACACACACACACTGGCACATGCACAGTATTAATATAATTATTACAATTCATGGTGCCTTTTCTTTCTTTGATATAAGATCTAACCTTTTCTATGCTGTCCTATAACTTGTTATGGAGCTGTGAATATGAACTTCTGATCTTATTGCCTCTTAACATCCACAGGCTGGGATTAGAAATATGCAGTACCACATTGTGTTTAAGAATCATGTTTATTAGGAAAGTCCTCTACCAAGAAATAGCCCAGCTGATTTCTTTTAGTGATATTTTAAGAGCTTCAGTTACAAAAATAAAATTATTACAATATTCAACACATAAAACTATAATGCTAAGAAAAATTATAATATTAAGAATAAACAGTTGTGTGTGGTTTGCATATTAACTAACTTAACTCTCAACCATCATAGGTCATACTCAGTTTTAATCTGCTTTTTACACATAAAAACACTAAAATATAGAGAATTCGAATGATTTGAATAACACTACACAATTTAAAAAAAAACACTCACACCTAATAAATGTGAATCTATTGCTCATCATTTTAAGCTCTATACTACCCTGTTTCTCTGAAGTTTCAGAATACCTGAACTGCTGGTCAAGAGAAGAAGCTACACATTCAGTTAACTGTCAGACAGAAAGCAACAAATTAAACTGAGGGGGAACAAAGATGTCATACCTGTAATAAATCCTAAGTGTATCTAGGAGAAACTGCACGCCATACTTCTTCCGGAAAACTCTCCTACTGTCTTTAATGATAGTCGAAAGATACTGTATATGGCCTAAAATAAAATGTTCATTTATAAATAGCATAACTAAAATAAAGTCACAACGGTCATATTTCCAAAACCAACTGTACAATATTTTATCTGATAGCTTGGTCTTACCAATCTGAAAAGGAAAATCTCCACGGTTCCAAATGCGGAAGTCAAAGAGTAAATACTGATACATCTGTTGAAGCAACAGTGTGTTTTTTTCTAGTGATACCTGTTCAATTAGTAATTGAATTGCCATCAATACATTAACATCCATTAGGGTACCTGGCACCTAAAATTTAACAGAAAAGGGTTTCATAAAGGTTATTTAAAATATTAGTATGAAACTTTAACTTCCAATAATTCAGAAATCCATAAAATATAGAATAAATAATAGTACAAAATATAAATAACTTAAATCATTAATCTTTCTGATTTAATACTGGATCGTATTTTCCTAATGTCATATTCCTAGTCTTTTTTTTTTCTTTAAATTTTTTACAATTTATTTACTTTATATCCCAATTGTAGCTCCCTCCCTTATATCCTCCTGGTCCCACCTGCCCTCCCTCTTTCCTCCCTATAACCCTCCCCTAGTCCACTGATAGGGGAGGTACTCCTCTTCTACCATCTGATCCTAGCCTATCAAGTCTCATCAGGACTGCCTGGATCCTCTTCCTCTGTGGGTTGACAAGATTGCTCTGCCAGACAGAAGTGATCAAAGAGCAGGCAACTGAGTTCATGTAAGAGACAGCCCCTGCTTCCTTTACTAGGAAGCCTCACATGGAGACTGAGCTGCCTATGGGCTACATCTGAACAGGGTCTAGGTCCTCTTCATGCATAGTCCTTGCTTGATGCATCAATCTCTGCAGGCCCAGATTTTTTGGCTTTGTTGGTCTCCTTGTGGAACTCCTGTCCCCTTCAGATCCTTCTATCCCCCTATTCTTCCATCAGATTCCCTGTGCTCTGCCCAAAGTTTGGCTGTGAGTCTCTGCATCTGCTTCAATCCTCTGCTGGGTGGGGTCTTTCAGAGGACATCTATGGTATCTTCCATCCTGTTCCCTGCCCCCGCCACTCCTGGTGTCTATCCTGTTTACCTGTTGAATGAGAATTAATCATCCTCCCTAGAGTCCTCCTTGGTTGTTAGCTTCATTGAGTCTATAGATTTTAGTATGTTTATCCTATATAATATGGCTAATATCCACTTATAAGTGAGTATAAACTATGAGTGCCTTTCTGGTTCTGAGTTACCTCACTCAGAATGATCTTTCCTAGTTCTATCCATCCTGCAAATATCATGATTTTCTTGTTTTTAATAGCCAAGTAGTATTCCATTGTGTAAATGTACTACAATTTCTTTATCTATTCTTCAGCTGCATTTTTCTACATATAGAAATCCAGTTAGACCAGCACCATTTGTGGACAAAGTCTCATTATATAGATATGTATCCCAAAATTTTACCTCAAAATCCTAAACACTGAGCCTTCTCTCCTGCCGCAGGAATTATTTTTAGTGTGTATGCTGTGTGACCATGTGTATGGCTTTCTGCACAGAAGTGCAGTGCTCTCAGTAGTCACAAGAGGGCACAGGATACTTGGGGGATGAAATCCTACCTAAGTGTGAGCCTCGTCAAAAGCAATGCATGCTCTTAAATGCTAAGCCATCTCTACAACCCTTGAGTACATTTCTTGACTTCCATTGTCTCCCAAGGTGCAGAGAAGCCAAACCCTTACTCCACTTATGTGCATGGGGTCTGTCAGTGCTACCAACTTCTGGAAACCTGGCCACTTGGATGACCACCCCCACCCTCAGTCCTTCAGCCCAGGCTTTTTTTGAGAGAGGGTTTCTCTGTGTAGCCTAGAGTGTCCTGGACTCACTTTGTAGACCAGGCTGGCCTCACTGGAACTCACAGAGATCCACTTGCCTCTGCCTCTCTGAGTGCTGGAATTAAATGTGTGTGCCACTGTGCCCGGTTTAAAATCTTTCTTTTAATGCTCAAAGAACATTATCACTTTAAATTTTTATTGAAACTGTATGAAATTATTATTCTTTCTATTTTACAGACAGGGAATCTAAGGCATAAAATAGCATCTCCAAACAATTCAGCTAGCAAAAGTTTTAAGCTCAAACAGAATCCATGATCTAACAGATGAAAGAACTGAAGCTGCAAAACATCATGAGCCAGTATATGACAGAGCTTAGAAAATTCTCTAGAAGGGGGCTGGGGAGACGGCTCAGAGGTTAAGAGCACTGGCTGTTCTTCCAAAGGACCCAAGTTCAATTCCCAGCAACCACATGGCAGCTCACAACTGCCCTCACACAGACACACATGCAGGCAAAACACCAATGCACATAAAGATAAAAAGAAATTTTAAAAAGATAGAGAAAGAAAGAAAATTCTCCAGAAAATTTTAAAGAATTATTCCTCCCATAAACAGATCAAGAAAATTCAATCACTGCTGTGGTGGTCTAAATATATGGTGGCCCCCATAGATTCATGTGTTTGCATACTAGGCCCATGAGGAGTGGCACTATTAAAGGTGTGGCCTTATTGGAGTAGGTGTGGCCTTGTTGAAGAAGCATGTCACTGGCAGTGTGCTTTCAAGTCTCCTATACTATACTCCTATATAGTGTGACACACAGTCTCCTGCTGCCTGAGAATGTGGAGGTAGAACTCTCAGCTCCATCCCCAGCACAATGTTTGCCTATAGGTGGGCATGTTTCTCACTCTGACAATAACGGACTAAACCCCTGAAACTGTAGCCAGCCCCAATTAAATGGTTTTCTTTATAAGAGTTGACATGGTAATGGTGTCTCTTCACAGCAATGAAACACACAACTGCACATACAGTGAGGGCATATCTTTCTCTTGTTCATAGTTACTCTTTCCAGGACTCAATGAAAGCCATAGTAGTGATTTAAGTAGCTCTCAGCTCCTTAACTGGTATCGTGAATTCCCACACTTTGCCCTTCACAACGCTGTGAGGTGGACATGACTGTCGTTTCCACCAGATGAGTAAATTAGACCCAAGAAAATGACTTTTACTGGGGCTGTATACACTGCCTTTGTAAACAGGTCTCTCAATGACATTATAAAAAGGTTTTGTAGAGAGCTTCAAAAGAATGATAAGCTGGTAGTTACCCAAAAGCAGGCAAACTTTGTAAACTGGCATCCTAGGCTGACCATTAAAAAAAAAAAAGGCATGGAATAGGAATCCTTTCAATATCAGTTTTTCTTTGTGACTCAGTTTTCTCTGTCTGGACAGTGATCTTAGGTCTAGCCTTCATAAACTAGCCTTAGAGAGCCCTGTGTTGTACAGCATGTGAAAGCACACATTGCAAAGAGAGAGTTGGCTGAACAAAAAGACTCTCCTCTTGACCACATAAAATAATTTGAAAAAAAATGTCAGGAATTTTCTTTTAATGCAAAGTTCTCTAATAATTTCCTAATACCTCTGATACTTAATGGCAGCCTTCCAATGTGGGAGTTTCAGATCAGGTCTCTGTCTGTCGTTCTTTCTGTCTTTCCTTTCTTCCTTTTCAGTTTTTGGAGAAAAGGTTTCCCTGTGTGATCCTTGGCTGTACTGGAATTTGCTCTGTAGATCAGGCTGGCCTTTAACTCAGAGATCTGCCTGCCTCTGGCCCCCAAGTTCTGGGATTAAAGTTGTGCTCCACCATACCCAGCCTCAGTTTCTACTTCTTTCAGATTGTCCAGTGGTTATCTGAAATGGCCACATAAGGCTTCTTGAATAATTTTGATTTTTTGAAACAGGGCCTCAACATAGCTCTGGCTGTCCTAGACCTCTCTATGTAGACGAGGAAGGTCTCAAATTTACAGAAACCAGCCACCTCTACCTCACAAATAATGGGAATAAAGGTGTGTGCCACTATGACTAACTTTCTCCAAAGGGAGCCTTCCCTCCAACATTGTCACTATGATAAAACCTACCATAATCAAGTGGCATGCTGGACTCATTAGTCTCTTGGAATGCTTCCCCTGCCTTTCCAAAATCTCTTATGATGGAGTCTTTTCAGCAGCTACCAAAGTTTAAAAGAAAACAACAACAACAAAACTGCAGGACAGAAGCCAAATCCTAGTATATGCAAATAAACTTCCATCCAAAGTGGCCTTGTGATTTACTTTAATTATTCCTTATAGACAGGGGTTTATTTGAGAGCCATATTAAACCGGAAAATTGTCTTCATATCAGGTCAGGTATGACTGTACATATCTATACCCTTAACACTCAGAAAGCTGAAGCTGAAAACTGAAAACGTGAGGACAGCCTGGACTACATATTGTGTAGCTCTCTTATGATTTGACAATGTCTAGCTATTCCATACAGACTTCTATTTTATTTACTGAAAACATCCAGCTCTCTTCTCCCTCACAACAGTCAGAGGATTTCCTGATGAACTTATACATAAAGTCAATCCCAGCTTATCAGCTGTGTGAGACACAACATTCTGGTTCTCAAACACCCAAATACTATACCTAGCAACTAAGAAAGTATACACCAAAGACTATATATTCTTATTTAAGATAAGTCATTTGTATTATTGTTAAAGTTTATAAACGCTGCCTATAAAACAAATCATATGCACTGATATAATTTGAGTTGTAATACAGCAATCATTAGTAACATTTTTTAGTAAGAATAAAATCACAACAGCAATTCATGATCATCACACAATCAATCAAAATGTTAGACTTGATTACCTTCTGGAGTAAGGCACCAAGAGTTGCAACTCCATGAGACTGAATAAGATTGTCCTGGTTGATAGGATGTCTCTGAATGAAGTGTTTCACAATCAAGATGAATGTTGCAATGAGATTTTTCTCTAGTCTTGACTCTAGGAAAACATCATAATCAAAATCACTCTCATCACTTTTACATCACATATTTTGTATCATAATTCACACTTTAACAAAAAAAAGTGATCTAATTCAGTTCTTGCTTCCAAGATTGATTTGTACAATGAAATAAAAAAGCAGCAACTACTAACTATATAATTGTATCTTTATTGTGATATAACAATGTGGTGGGAGAGTCAAAAGTAAAGTTACTATTTTCAGTGTTTTACGCAGAGTCTTGTAACCTTACTGAACTATGTCAGGGCAGAGGGCAGCTGCTGTAAATAAGTAATATGTCATTTCATTTGCCAACTAATTCTCAACTTTCTAAATTACTATTCTAGGCAATGTAATTGTATTACCTGACGCCTTTGTGGAGGCCAACCCCAGACATTCCTGTTCAATAGGTGTTACTAATTCAGGAACTGTGTTTTCACTCAATCCTTCAGAAGTCTGTCCTTCACTAAAGTGGCTTATTTGTTCCAGTAAAGGAAAAAGTGCATTTAATCCACCTATACAATTGATGATGTCCTGAAAACAAAGTTTAAAAATTTTAACATTACAAAATAAAAGCAATGGTGTAGTTTAGATCTATAGTATATATGAAGATACACTTTGTTAATAAACCTTAAGTAATGTACGTGATAGCCCAAGATAAAGGAATCCTTAAGCAGACAGTCTCAAAGATAACCATAACTTACATTCAAAGAAGACCACTTCCGGTCATTTTTCTGTTCTTGTTTTTCAGAGCTTGGAAGTCTGAACATGTACAATGTTAATCTAACAATGTCAAGAATGAGTAACTGTCACCATACAGTCATGCATTAAAAAACAGGAGAGGAACCAAAAGTATAGCTGACTCTTCTGATTTTAGTTAACAAAAATGGAATGGGTAAAGCAAGCTGAAATATAAAATATGCTTAATGTCTGACATATAGATAATGTTATATAAAGCTGCTCTTATTATTAATCAGTAAAACATTCAGACCAACCCAGTTCTGGAGTATGCCGGTAATCCCAGCACTCAGGGAGGCAGAGGCAGGCGGATCCCTGTAAGTTCAAGGCCAGCCTGGTCTACAAAGCAGTCCAAAACAGCCAAGGCTACACAGAGAAACCCTGTCTCAAAAAAACAAAACAAAAAACCCCACAAAATCATCCAGACCTACACTGAAGTATTATTGTAAACCTAGTACAAGAAAAGCCAAGGCAGGAATATTCCAAGTTCAAGGCCAGCCTGAGAGGGAGTGAGAAAGGTAGGAAAGAGAAGTAGAAAGGGAAGGGGACAGAAGATTAACAAATCTATCATCTCATCTAGTCAGCTGTCGCAACTGCTGCTATAAAACACTTACTTAGCAAACCTCCCAATTCAATATTCTTCATGTTGTACCTGTGCCTGAGATTTCAAGATCTATTCCAACTGCATACCTGCCCTGCCACTTTATTTTGTGTACCTTTAAATTATCTAAAATTATTTTACACATTACATAAAAAGATTAAACAGACTGGGAGAAAAACATACTTATTTTAAAGAGTTTCTTGTATGGTAGTAGTAACTGAACTTTGTGGATGGCAAATATTTTCCTTCTTAGTTGTCTTTTTTTTTTCCCAAGAAGGAAGAGAATTTTTATTTTACTTAAGCATATATATATATGTCTTTTTTTTAAATAATTCTGTTACTGTCATGTTTCCAACATTAGGCAAAATATTTGATTCGTTAATTTATATAGCTACAATACAAAGTACTAAAGACTCATTTTCAGATCTGCAAAGCATATGTAAGATAATTAAGTTCATATATAATAAACAGACATAGTCTTGTAAAACTAGTCTTACAAGGGAAACAAAAGTTAAACTATGTAACCTATTGTAAACTATATAAACTATTGTATTTACGACTAAAATACAATAGCAGTTTTGCTTTGTTTTGTTTTGTTTGAGTTGGCTTGGTTGACAGCATAGTTTACAAAGGTAAATTCAGTTTTAGTCAGCCATTCAACTACTATAATTGTTAATCCTTCAGAATATAAATCTGTATAACATTTTTTCTATCTATCTATCCATCTGTCTACCTACCTACCTAATCTGGGGAGGGGAGGTTATTTTGGAAACAAGGTCTCATTATATATCTTTGGCTGTCCTGGAACTCCCTATGTAGACCAGACTGAACACAAACTCTGTCTCTCTCTGCCTCTTGAGTGCTGGGATTAAAGGCATGCACCACCATATCCAGCACTGCATAAAATCTTAGCAGAGGCCTATTATTAAGATCAATTTGGTAGTGCTTAAAAGATAAAATCTGGGCAGGTCAGGTGGATAAGAGTTCTTGCTATGCAAGTATGACTACTTGAAGGTCTGAGTTCAAATCCCAAGTATCCATGTAAAACTCTTGGCAGGACTGCCTGAAAACTCCAGCACCAAGAAAACAGAGACAGGGAGATCCTAAGAGACAGGGAGATCAATGACTAGCCAGCTTAACCTAAAAGGCACGCTTTCTGTTTAATCACAATAGGTGAAAACAATAAATTTCTAGCAATACACACACACACAGGCACACAAGTACTTCCTCCTACTCCTCATAATACTGGGGCTAAGAATGTGACTCATGTTACCCAGAATACAGAATGCCCTGGGTCCAGTTACTAGTACTTAAAAAAAAGAAAAAAAAAAGATTCTATATGTTATGCGTAAGTAAACTTAATGTAAATTTAAGTTATATTAAAATGTCTATTGCATATTATTAATTTACCTTAATGTCCCAATTCACTACTTTGTTTCCTGTTAATCTTCCATGCAAAGAATTAGTAGACAAGTCAAGGCAAATTGAATTTTTGCAAGCCTAAGAACAAAAGAAAAATACAAGCATCTCAGTGCAATTAGAACAAAACATAACTTTAATTACATACAGAATGTTTCACCATAATTTTAAAAGTACATAAAATAAGTAATAATAACATGCCCAGCATTTGCCTTTTACTGTTCTCTCACTGTGTGCATGCGCATCTGCGGGTGTGTCTGTGTGTGTGCATGTGTGTGATATCTGTGTGGGGCATGCAAAAATGTCGATAGCCATGGAGGCCAGAGGTAGACAGCAGGTCTGAGATGTCATCAATCACTCTCTGCCTTCATTTCTGAGACAGGGAGTCTCACCAATTATCTAGACTGACTGGCAAACAATCTCTCCACCTTCTCTGGCCTTCCAGCAGTGGGGTTCAAGCACACATCATAATGTTCAGCTTTCATATAGGTGCTTGGGGATCCAAACTCAGGTCCTCATGTTCTCACACCAATTAATTTAAATAATGTCTCTTTTTTTAAAAAGGGAACTAAATTCTAGAGCGCTCACTTATCAGAAGTAGGTCACTGTATTCAGTTCTTAGCATAAAGAAAATACCAAATTTTAAAGGAACAGGTGACTACACACACCTGAATGAAAAACAGCTGACTACTGAAAGGTGTGCCAAAGTATCATTTAACAAATTAGCATTTGTTAATACTTGAATTACTTTTAAGAGTGCTCAAAAAACTAATGAAACAAATTAAACCAAGCAGAATCCTTTTTTACACATGTTTTTAAAAGCATTTCATCAATCTCCAAGAAGAATATGAAGAATGCAAGAGCTCTATGAACTTACTTTACTTTAGAAACATGTATCACACCATTTTGGAGAAACACACCTTTAATAAAATGACTTACCTACATATTAATCACATTTCTTGGGGGAGATAAGATTATAACTAATTTTTTAAAGTACAGGTTTTAAAATTTTCAGTCTCAGAAAATATAGTCTTAATATCACCAAATTCAAAATTACTATGTAAGAAGGTGACAACCATAATGGTAAAAGCCAGATGCCCACTACATGTCAAGACTATGTCACTCAGTATACTATCTGGATTAGATGCAATGATTTCCTAGCTATCTATGCTACATACTGGAAACTGGATAGGAGAGGAAAGACCAGTATTTGCAGAGAAAGAAGGTTATTATTGTTGGGTAAACATACATATTGTTGGGGATACATGGATCTTGACTGGATCAAAACTAGCTTTTGCTAAACAAGTATTTTTTTGAAAAAACTGAATATAGGTGATATATTCAATTATGTAAGTAACTATGTAAAATACTCAGGGATAAAATTTTGAAGGTTTGGGGGGTTTGTTGTGTATCTGGGTTTGTTTGTTTGTTTGTGTGTGTGTGTGTTTTTGGTTTTTTTGAGACAGGGTTTCACTGTGTAGCCTTGGCTGTCACTATGTAGACCAGGCTGGCCTCAAACTCAAGAGACTTGCCTGCCTCTGTTTCCCAAGTGCTGGAATTAAATGCACTTTCTACCACCTCTTGGTTAGGGAAAAAAGTTTTATAGTTGTACCAATCTACTTTTACAAATGGCCTGAGAAAAAGTAATCAAATACAACAAAATATTAACAACTGGAATCTGGGTAAGGAATATGTAGGATTATTACACTGCGTTTTTTTTTTTTTTTTAACTTCTCACTAAGGTTTGAAAGTAATAATGATAATATAAAGGTGGGAGAACACAAAACCAGTAAGGTTATTTTATTAGGTCAGATACAACAAATAAATGGTATGATTACGTACCAGCTTGCTAAATTAGAAAAAGAAATTCTATATTATCTCAATTAAAATATTTTCTGCACTATGATGAGTCAAATAATGTTGTTTATGACACTTCTCTGCTTTTTTCCTCCTAATTCTACCTTATATTTTTCCATCAGTCTTTGCTAGTTCATTACTTTCATTAACTAAGTCTTTAAAGTAAAAAAAGCTAGACATGGCATGTACACTGGAAGGTTTTCTATCCTTCAGAAAACACCTCCCTCCCTTCAACATCACATTTTAAAAAAGCAAGCCTAAGTTTGAGTACAAGTGTTTCATATTTATTTTCACATAACTAGAGAAATACAAATTAAAAAGGTTTCATTCATTAAAACCAACACAAAAAATTTCTAGACACTAGTACAATTCATACTAGTAGTATGGCATAGCACATGAACTTTAGTTGAGAAGGTAGGCCTTTTTTTTTTTCCCTGCTTCTCAATTTCCTTTTAAAATCCCTAATTTCCAAAAATAAAGATTCAAGCCCCTCCTCAATTACCCACTGAAGTGACAAGAGGAATAAAACAATGAATTTGAGTTCATGGAATATACAACTATGGACAGCCCATGCATTTGCTCTGACCTTTGCTGTGTAGTGAAGGAGGACGTTACTTGGGAGGTCAGCCATGTCACAGTCTGGACACTTCCAAGGGCTTAAGCAATTTGGACCTGAAAATTAGTCACACACACATACATCACTGAATAGACATGGTCTCCTTGATTTTGTGTTACCAAAACCAAAACAAAACTTAGAATCAAGATATTTCAAGCTGCTCAAATAACATAGCTAAAACACACTGTGTTACATGTACTTTAGTTTGATGTCCTCCCTAATTTTTCCAAAATCTAGAAATTTGAAGATGATCAATTTCTGCTGCAGAAAGGACATTGTATGTAGCATTATGAAAATATTATAAAATACAAAGACTGCACTGATTTATCTAATGTGAACAAATTAAGAAGAATAATGAAACAAAAATATTTAAAATTAATGTGATATTGGGCATGGTGGTATACAACTTTAATCCTAGCACTCTAAAGGCAGAAGCAGGAAGATCTCTCTGTAAATCCAAGGCCAGCTAGGGCTATATAAGACCCTATCTTTAAAAGAAAAATTCAGTATGAACAGACAGCAGAGAAACAGAATAGCACATAAGATAACAGTGCTCACTTTCATTTACAACCAAAATGTAGGCTCAAACAAGGTTCCATTTGACAGATAATAGAAGAAAAACCCTCTTTTCTCTCTCTTCCTTAGTTCTGCCTATTCAGAACATTCCAGCATTGGCCACAATTGGCTCTACCTTATTTTTATTAGATAGATCTTTTATTCAATCTGAAGCTCATCATCTAGCTAGGATGGCGGACCAACAAGCTCCTAGGATCTCTATCTCCACACATGAACACTGGGGTTACAGGTAGAAGCAGCCATGTCCAGCTTTTCCATAAGTCCTGAGGATCCAAACTAAGCATCTCCTGCTTGAAAGCAGAACTGAGTCATCTCCACAGCATATCATGATACTCCATCTTAGTGAGGCTGTGCTAAATCTGATAGACTTCTGTGTAATCAATAATACTATAACTGTTTTTTTCTCTTTTAGGAGCCGATTGTGTGACATGTATTGAGAGCCGTTAATTTATACATGCACTTTGAATATTTATTCTCAGAATATAAAACCATTAAAATAAAAATAAGTACAATAACTCATCATACTGAAAATTTTAAGTTTATATCAATAGTAAAAAATGATAGCTGGCAGCGATGGTGCACATGTTTAATCCCAGCACTCTGGAGGCAGAGGCAGGCAGAGCTCTGACTTCAAGGTCAGCTTTACTCTACAGAGTAAGTTCCAGGACAGCCAGGGCTACCTAAAAAAAACTCCGTATCCAAAACCAATAAACAAACAAACAAACAAACAAAGAATTCATAGCATCAATTCAAGAAACCGTACAAAAGTAAGAGCCAATTATTTATAATAATAATTATCATTTAAGAGTAAAATTGTAAGTAAAACTATAAGAATTAAGTATACACTATATAACCACAAACACTGCATTGAATGACTTTTTTCTAACTTGGATTTACTTGGGTTACAAATCAAACATTTAAATACTTCAATGAGTGTCAAAAAAAATGATTAAGTTCCAAATTCAACTCTGAAAAAATCCAAATTGTCTTATTCATCTCAAAACTCCTATGCAATCTGAACAGGGTATTTTGGTGAAAAACAAGTTATTCTACAAAATTAATGTCCATGATTCCTTTTTGCTGTTGTTTTTTTTATTTTATTTTTAAGATTTACTTATTATTTATATAGCATTCTGCCTGCAGGCCAGAAGAGGGCACCTTATCTAACTGCAGATGGTTGTGAGCCACCATGTGGTTGCTGGGAATTGAACTAGGACCTTTGGTAAAACAGCCAGTGCTCTTATCTTCTGATTTCTCTGTGTAGCCTTGACTGTCCTGGACTCGCTTTGCAGAACAGGTTAGCTTTGAACTCTTGCAGATCTGCTGCCCTGAGTGTTGGGATAGCAGGCGTGCAAAACTGCACCCAGCAATGTCCATGATGCTTAAAGATTTAAATTCAGAATAAGGACTAAATAGTAATTAATATATTATATTCAAAATCATATCCAAAAGAAAAAACCAAAACATTTACAATACTATCCAAGAATATGTAAATATATTGCCTTCAGAAATTCTTCAGGTATAAAAGTGACAAGTTCTGGAACAAGATTCATTATTTTGGAATCACTTCCATAATTTCTTTTCTTTTTCTTTTTTGACACAGGATCTCAATAGGCCAAGTTGCTATGTAGATGACAATGACCTTGAACTCCTAAAACTGCCTCTACTCCCTAAGCATTTGGATTATAAGCATGTACTGCCAAGCTCTACCATTAGGCCTTTTTAATTTAAAATTTTGAATTATTACATTTATATTTGTGTATGTAGAAGGACACTCATGACATAGCTTGGATGTGGAGGGTTAGATAGCATTCTTTCCTTTTTTCTTTTTTAAGGTTTATTTGTTATGTACACAGGTTCTGCCTGCAATGTGTGCCTGTACACCAGAAGAGGGCACCCCAGATCTGACTATAGATGGTTGTGAGCCACCATGTGGTTGCTGGAAATTGAACTCAGGACCCTTGGAAGAGCAGCCAGTGCTCTTAACTACTGAGCCATCTCTCCAGCCCACTTCTATGCTTTCCTATGTAGATAGGCTTCTATGTGATTTCATCAGTTCATTAACTTCTGGCAAAAGTACTGATAGTGTGATGGATGGAACCAAATGACCTTAAAATTCACACTAAAAACATAATTTCCAATGTGACTGTATTGTAATTAGAGCCTTTAAAGTTGAATTATGTTATAAGAATGGGGTCCTAATCAGTCAGGGTCCCATAAGAAAAGCAAGAGACACTATAGAGACCAGGTCTTTTTGTCTACGTGCACACTGAAGAAAAACATCACATTGATATCACAGTAAAAAAGGGGTTACCTAAAACAAAGAGAAGCCTCACTAGAAAACAGCACTCATATTATCTTAATCTTGAACATTTACTCTCCATTAATATGAGAAAATTTCAGTGATTAAAGACACAGTTTGTAGTAATTTACAATGGCAACGCTGGGAGACTAACACAGGCAGTAGTTTCGATTATAAGAAATTTAAGTATCACCCAAAGTAGTGCTGGAGAGATGGCTCAGCAGTTAACAGTGCTTACTGCTCTTACAGAGGATCTAGGTTCAGTTCTCTGCACCCACATGGTGGCTTAAAACTGCCTATAACTCCATTTCTGGGAGATCCAATATCCTCTGTCCTGTATAACACTTCTACAAATGATGCACATTAACTCACAAAGGTGCACAAGAACACAAGCACACACACAAACATAGCATGCACGCATGCACACACACACACACACAAATATTTAATTATTGCCTAAACACTTGCTTTAGTTATGCCTACAAAAAAGTATAGAAGTATAGAAGTATACTTAAAAAAAGTAGACAGGAGGCTTTTCTTTTCAGTTTCCATTAAAACACTACAGATCTGTAACATAGTTCAGCGCTTAGATCACTTGCTTAGTATGTATGTGCTAGATCCCCAAAGTGTGAAAGAATGAACAAACGAATGAACGAATGAATGAATGAATGAATGAATGAACGAACGAACAGATTCTTCAAATAATCTTTAGGAAACATTCAGGCAAGAAGGAGGAGCAACGGTAAATACTGTGACTGTGCATGCTCACCTGCTAAATATAAAGCCTTGACCTGAGGAGGCTGCAGCGCTTCATGGAATATAATAACAGACCCTAGCTGGCCCTCCAGGGATGTGGGACAACCCCACTCACTATCTTGGGTTCCAGCTGAAATTAATTTGGTAACTAATTTTGATTTTTCAACTGTTCCTCCCCAGGAGGCTGATGACAATATTCCACCAAATGATGTCCGGTGAGGGGAAATGGGAGTAGAAAATGGTGGATCTGGGATTTGAGATGGTGGAGGAGTAGTGGTTCTTTGACCAGCTGAACCAATACAACAGGAAGTAAATGGCTAAAAATTAAACAAAAGCGACAAAAATTATTTAAAATTGCACAACATTAAAATAAAGCTCTCTCTTCATATTTAAAGTTAAACAGTATAAATCTGAGCTAGATGGCACACACTGAATAGTCCCATCACTAGGGAGACCAAGCCAAAAGGATCATCAGCTGCATAATGAGACCCTATCTCAAAAAACACAAAAACACTGAAATGAAGTACTATGGAGCTGGACATGTAGCTCCATGGAAAACACTTATCTAGCATGTATGAAACTTGGGTTTGATAAACACCAATGAAAAAATAAATAAATGAAACTTAAAATTAAGTAAAAATAGATGAAATAGTATAATATAAACTAAGCAAATAAACACACTGAAACTAGAAGTGGAAGCTGATTTTTCAACTGGATCATAACATATACAGGTAAGTATATACCTAAGGCATCACTGTCAAAGTTACTTTGGTGAAGAGAATACAGACATTACTTTTATGACTTTTTTTGATGAACATTGTTCTGAGTATTATTCTTAAAAAATTAAAAGAGCTTTACAGTTACCTAAAATAGAGATAATTACATTCCCTCACACAAAATTTATCAAGTATAATGTTAATTAAAGATTACCTTTAACAGTCATGATGAGAAGCAAGAAACTAGCAGGTAAACTGACAAATTTCCTACTTCATCCTATTAGTCCCAGAAAAGACTTTCTTAAATTGGCCAGTCTCAAAAAGCTTTCTTCACCAGTGTGAAAAATAAAGCTTGAAAGCTTGAAGCTAGTTCATTACTAATTCAAATTTAACAAATATCTGTCTATCATAGTTATTTTCTTAAATATTTTATTTAATTGGAGAGGTTTGTTTTTTTGTTTTTGTTTTTTTTTTTTTTTAATGATACTTTGGTCTGGTTTATTCAGTACTTTGGCTTTGCCAAATCTACTTTTCCAAGCCTTTCATTACATTTCTTTCTTGAAATGATTTTTTCAAATAATGTATAACATTATCTAATAGCACACTAAGAAAAATGAATACCAATTTACTGTATATCAATATATAGAACACAGTTCAAAACTTTCAGGCAAAAATTTAATATATTTCCTAAATATCTTCAGGATTTTGTAATCAATAAGGCCTATAAAGTTACAGATACTCACCTCATTCATGGCTGGAAATCTGAGAGGGGCAGAAACCTTTTGTTGTCCATTGTCATAGATATAGACAAGACTCTGACCAAAGGGCCTTTTTCCAGGCATGTGAACAATGGCTATGTTGTGCTGATGAAGTAAAGCATACATTAAAATTACTAAAAACCACATTATGTCTTTGCAATGACATATGCTTCATATTACTTCATAATTTTTGTGAACAAAATGTTAAGGACAGACAAAATGCTGATACAATGATGTTCTCAAAACAAGTATCAATTTTTTATGCACTACAAAACAATCTTCTTTATCAGAAGACTCACAACTATTTTAAGCCTCTTCTGTATTTTTTAATGTTTTAAGTATTCTTAGAAGTATTTTTTTCAATGAGTAGCACTTTACAATTTTTAGATAAAAAACAGAAGTACACTTGTTTAACAACCTCACATCTCATTTTGAACTGAAATTCAAAACTCAGTCTAGGAAATCTTCAAGGACTCACAATATAAGTTCCAGCAGAAGAATCATTACTGCTTCTTTAATGACAACGATAAGTACGCTAACATCTTTATAAACAGAACTTTCCTACCAACAGAACCTGAAAACGAAAGCTAGCAGAGCAGATGAAGGCCACTCATAAAAATGCAGCTTACTGTTACATGTCTTAGATGAAAGACAACCCAGAATTCGATGGCATCCTAAAGTCTTACCCAGAGAGAGTCACAGAAACTGTGGTCAGGGAGCATGACTGTTGCATATTCTCTTTTCGTGCACACTGCTACAACCAAAATGCCTGAGTGGGTAATAAAAGCTTCGAAACCCATTCCACTTCCTGTAAAAAAGCTAACAAAAATATATGTCATCAGAACCTCTGAAAGCAAATTGCCCAGTCTCTTTGACATTGAAGCACATCATAAACTAAAAGCCATCACAAACATCTTCATTGACAATGCTGCAACCGTAACCTATCAGCCCAACTTTGTTTCATTTTTTAAATCCATTTTAAACATGAATTTTAATAAATTATGAAAGATAATTATGAAAGATAAATCTCACTGTTAAGTGAGATTTCATTATCAACCTAAAGCAGTGGTTCTCAATTTTCCTAATGCTTTGACCCTTTAACAGTTCCTTATTAAGTGGTAGTCCCCAACCATAAAATTATTTTTGTTTCTGCTGCACAACTTTAAGTTTGCTACTTTTATGAGTCATGATGCAAATATCAGTATTTTCCAATCCCTATGGTCTTAGTCATTCCCTATGGTCATGGCCCACAAGTTAAGAACCACTGAGCTAGAGCAAAACTAAAAATTTTTAAATCTTTTAAATTTTGCAAAATATCCAGAAAGCATACATAACAGTTTAAAAATCATAAAGCATATTAGAAGTGATTGCTGGGTGTGGTATCACACACCTATAATCCCAGCACCTGGGAGGCAGAAGCAGACAGATCTCTGTGAATTCCAGGCCAGCCTTCTCTACAAAGTAAGTTTCAGGACAGACAGAGAAACCCAGCGTGGGTCCGGGAGGGGGCAATTATTAGCCACTGAGGCCTGAATGTTTTACATAAAAACTCAGCTCCTTCAATGGAACAGAGTTTATTATCCCTTTCTCTCCATTTTTATACTACTTTTATTTTTGTTTCCTAAAGACCCTCATTTTTTAGCCAGAAAAATATCTAAAATACAGAATAAATATAAAAGCAATAAAGCACCTCTAAACTATACAGCCACAAGATAAAAAAACTTTCATATAACTATTATAAATTTTAAGAACTAGATCCTTACTTTTTCACATTTAAGAATCACAGCATACATAATGTGAAAATATTCGTTTATACTCCACCATTTGTACCATTACCTATATAATTGTTTCCTTTTTCCTCCTTTGTTAGCAGTGCCGAGGGTCAACCGACCCTGATCCAAACAAAACCAAGCAGTGAAGGAAAAAGCAGAGCCAGGCCATTTCTGAACGGCAGGCACAGAAATACCTGCCATGCTATGTGACAAATTAAAATACTGCAGTGCACTCTCAAGACTGAGTTTTCGCGCCATTGTCAGGATGGCACGAGTCACGGGAACGGTGTACGGGTGAGCAAACTCAGATTCATCCACTCTCAGCAACCGGAGTAGTCGACGGATCTCTTCTGAGCTCACAGACTGACTCCCCAGTGAACCATGGATTGCAATCAAATTCTCAGCACAAGTTCGATGTAAGGAAGAGTGGGATTCAAGGGTTTCAATGATTCTTATTCCCATGTTTGCATTCACACAGGTAGTTCGGCTCTGTTTATTAATGCAACAAATTTTTTTCAGCCAATCAGAGATGAAAATTTGTAGGTCATGGGATTCTAGCTCTGGAAGCCACTGGATAAGAACCAAGAGAGGATGGACATTACTAATGCCCAAAATGCCAACTGAAGTATGATCACCCTCAACGGCCTGGAAAATAACACAAAAGTAAAAGGATAGTTACTATTCTTAAAGTAGTGATAATGGAACTTCTCATGATAAAGGTTAAAAACTCACCATGTTCATAAGTTCTTTAAGCAGTTCTAGTGGTGGCTGGCCCAAAGATTTTAATACCTCAAGCATGTGCATATAGCCAATTCTTTCTTTAAATACTTCCTAGAGGGTAAAACAACATACCAAAGCACATTTTCAATTACTAAATTTGTTGGAATATTAAAGACTGAGTATTTAAACTAATTAATATGAAATATAAAGGTTATTAAATCAGTTTTGTTCTCTTACATTATCTATGTCCATCTATATTCATCCTTCTCTCTCTCTTTTGAAACAGGGTCTTTCTATGTTGCCTAAGCTGAGATCTTTCCATCTCTCTCACTTATGTCAGGAATGGGGATAACAGGCATATGCCCTTGAATCCGGCTGTGTACATATTAAAACATATTCTATATTCTTTTTATAATAATAATAAAGATACAAAAGTTCAGCAAAATGCAAAATAAATGAAATCAAGACAACTTTTATAGAACTATTTTCTTCAGATTAAGTTATATGACACTTCCTTTTTCGTCACCTTCTCTCTTGTCAGCCTGTCCCATCCTCCTCCCCTCCCCCTCCAGCAACCCCCTAGACATAGTTTTACTTCATAGCTTTGGCTGTCCTGAAGCTCTGTCTCATTAAAAAAAGAAAAAAAAAAGGGAAACAAACAAAAAAGAGCTAGATTAAATTCCTGATGGCACATGCCTGTAAGCCCAGCAGAGGCAGGCAGATCTCTGTGAGTTCAAGGACAGCCTGGACTACAAAGCAAGTCTAGAACAAGTAAGGCTACACCAAGAAAACATGTCTCAAACAAACAAACAAACAAACAAACAAACAAAAATTCTGGATTAGCACTGTGGCCCAGAACTGGGGAAGTAGAGGCAAACTGCCATTCTGGGCTATATACTGAGACCTAGTTTAAATAACAAGGACTAGGATGTAGCTCAGTGGTGAAATGGAGGCCCTGGGTTAGATTTAGAACAATGCTCAAATTTTAAGTGGCCAGAATAAGGGAAAAAAAAAATTTTTGTTCCCTGTATCTAAATGATCTGCAGCATCAGTCAACATTAGAAAGCTTGAAGTCATTTACATTTTTAACTCAAAGCTAAAAAGTAAAATATAAAGACTACCCAAATATCTAGAAAATAGAAAATCACCCCCATTAAAACTAGGCAAAAATAGGTACACCAACCATAAAAAGGTTAAAAACATCAGTAAAGCCAGTTATCTCTATAAGCTGGATGACAAGCATAAGAAGAAACTTATCAAGCGGTGCTTTGTCATGTGACCTCGTTTAGGGAAAAAAGGTGAGGCCCTGAGTCCATCATGTTACATAACCTCTATAATTTTAAACCACAAAAGGCATTACTGTAAAAAAAAAAAAAAATCACCTTTAAAATTAATTAAACAGCCTTGAAGGTTGGAATTTCAGAAATAGCTATCTGTTACACTAATAAATGAATTTATTAGTACTTAAAGTGATTTCCCTTATAAACAACAAGGAAACCCTATTATTAAATGGCAGGTAAAATCAGAGGTAAGACTATCCAGTCTGACATAAACTTAACCATGGGCTCCATCACTGACGGCACCTCAGAGATAAGGCTTAGAACTTAGGGTGGGCTCATATCACTAACGTGTCTCAGGTACTTGACCATGTGCCTGGGACTCTGCACAGATCCCTCACAAATCGTAAAACTACTCCTGAACTACTTATCAACACATGAACCTAATCAGACAAAACTACAGTCAGAGACAGTAGATAAGAACTGATATAAGCAGCTGGAGAGATGGCTCAGCAGTTAAGAGCACTGGCTGCTCTTCCAGAGGATCTGGCTTAAAATTCCAGAACCCACATGGCAGCTCATAACTGTCAGTACTCTAGTTGCAGAGGATCTGGTACCTTCACAAAGTCATACATGTAAGCAAAACATAAAAATAAATAAATCTTTTTTTAAAGTGATATAAAACCCTGAGTTTAATGATAAAAAGAAAAACAAATCAAAACTAAAAAACAGAAGCTTATACCTACATGCATTGGCAAAACAAATCCCATACTGTTAAAGTGGTCATATGTGAAAAATACTCATATTCTGGATAGTTATAAAATAAATAGCAAAACTGACTTTAGTAGAAAAACAGTTATAAAACTTAACTCTTTATGCGCAATAACAATACACTCACTTCTCCAAAGCAGCATTATGGCCTTCTAATTCTAGCAATACGGTCAACACTGTAAACAGTTATTAGTGTGCAGTTCAGTCATCAATGTCCCTTTTTCTTTTCTTTTTTTTTTTTTTTTTTTTTTTTTTTTTTGGTGACAGTTTCATTACATAGCCTTGGCTTGCTTGGAACTGGAACTGGCTGAACCCAAACTCTCAGAGAGCCATCTGAGTGCTGGGATTAAAAGTATGTACTACCATATGAGTCATCAATATATTAAAATCCTGGAGTATCCATAAGGAGTTTGTCTATAAAATTATCAGCAAATTATAAAAAGGTGAGCTACTTTTGTAAAATACTTCATTGATTTCAGGTGTTAGTTACACCTGTTTTATACACTTCCACACTTCACTTTGGGATTTATACAACAAAAACTGATAAAATGAATATATTTTAAAGCTTGAAGATCTATTTTTCACCTTAGCAGCTGGAGAATTCTTCATCACTGCTGTCAAAGCCTGAATGGTTGATACAGCCAAACAATCCAACTGTCCCTGAAATACCTACCAAAGGGAAATAGCAAGAAATTAACAAATGTACTCAGGATTTTGTTCAGGTGGAACCCTTTGTTCTGAAAACTTGAAGAAATGACATGCATTACATTCCTCTTCCTATCAGATGGATTACTAAAAAAATAATCTGCAAGAAAACGTTACTTAATTAACAAAAGCCGCATATCAAGAAGAATGAATATTTACTCATTGTATTAAATTTTCGGAAAGGGAGGGCAAAACAAACTTTACACATGCTTTGAAAAAATAATGGACAATCTCAAGAGGAAGGAAGGGAGATCTGCAACTGGAAATTATGGCTTCAAAATTATATTTGAACTTATTAATTTTAAATACTGTTAGCATGTATAATCATACGTAACTTGAATAATTTTGTTTGCTTAGTTTCCAAATTCAGTACTAAAATGGAAATGGTGTATATACATCATTACCTTTTATACAAGGCATATCTATTTCTATAAAAAAAATTGAGGCAAATAATGAAAATAAATTATGTATCTATATGTACCGCCAAGTTTTAGAGAAGGCAATCTTTAATGCCAAACGTTTTATGAAATAATTAAAAACTCACTTTGATTTTTATTTAGGCGTAACCATAAATATGAGGTGGACTGAACATCAGGAGACCCCTCCTAGAAAATAAGCCAGTAACTACGACCCATAAAACTTAAAAATAAAATTCAACATGGTTGCTATGTTACACTCAACCTATCTTCATAGCACTTAAACCCAAAGATGGATTTGATGCCTTCTCTTGGCCTCTGAGGGCATTTCACTCTTTAAACACACAGAGACATACTTAAAAATGAATGAAATTAAAAAAAAAAAAAATAGAAAGCTATAAAACCAGAACTAAAAATCTGCTTTGGAAAGAGTATTCTTATGACCTGAAGCTAGCCACTCCACAAAGAGCATTGTCTTTTCTAGCTCCAAACAGAATTGATCTGCACATTAAAAAAAAAAAAAAAAACTATTTAGATCTTTGTGTTTACTAAGGTCTATCACTTTTAGGCATAAGCTACTAGAGTCTTGACTTTCATTGATATTGTTGTCAAATATTATTACATAAGAAAACATATAGTAAACACTTCACAATATAGATTAAAATTCTACATATACAAATTCATACAAATAAGATCTGTGCTACTTTGTTCAAGAATAAACTAAAAGGAACTCATCATAGCTAACATTTGAATTTATATAATCTCTTGTAAAAAATTTTAATTATATATAAAGAGACTTTGGGTGTCTAAATAGGAGAAATCTAAAGCAATAAACAACTCTCTGAATCTCTATTTTACACCCCCAAAAAATTAACAGATTATAGTATAGTCTCTTTTCCTACAACTCAGTAAACCTAAACATTAAAATAATTTTAACAAAAGATATATAAATTCTCCAACAAACATGTTGAGGAAAAAAAAAAACCAACTTTACAGGTATTTTGTTTTACAATTAAAAAAATTTTTTAATTTTTTAATTTTATAATTTTCCTCCCCAAAATAATTTACAAGTATCTTTTGAGGAAAAAAAAAAAAAAAAAAAAAAAAAAACCAGATACATCTGTTTTGGTATTCCAGTACAGGGTTGAATTTTGAGAACAGAAAAACAAATGAAAATTAACATTCAAAGGCTTATCATCTTCTTCCCTTCCTCCAAGATTCAGGTTGTCCATTGAATTACAATCATTGTCAATAAGAAGTGAAGAATCGAGATATTAACAATAACTATGCATATTCACATACAAAGCCCTCATGTCCCAATACACCACAGTGCTTAGAAAAAGAAGCCCCTCAAACACATTCATCACCAGGTAGTCAATACTGATACTGGGTTCCATTCCTGTACTTTTTATCTTCTCACACTGAAAAAAAGTCCTCATTAACACAGAATTATAACGATGATTTATGTGTAATTTAAATAATCCTCAAAAATAAATAGATTAAAGGTCTGTGGTTTTGGAGCAATAAGAAGAAAAGCACAGGAATAGTTATCCCATTGACTGATTTTGGACTTCAGCTGAAACAAGATGCAGGCTTTGTAGATACCTGGTCCTCACTCATCTCTGTCAGTAATTGGTTGGCAAGGTCTTTCTCGTTCTTGTCTGCCACCTTACTGTGAGCATTTAAAAACAGCTGTTAAAAACAGAGACAAGAATAATGGAGAAAGAACATTAAATTGTTACCTAAAAGCAGAATGAGGTCCAGCTGGATTTCCATGTCTCTTGAAAACTAATCCAAGAATACATTTGTCAAGTACACAACTTCCAGAAATAGGTAATTATTGGCTTTCTGAATAACAATTTAATAGTAGTTTAAATACTATGTAACATACAGTTCTCCTTTATAACTCAAAAATTTTAAGAAACTTGCTACTGAAATAGATAAAAGATTCCATAGTAAACAATGATTGCAAAATTCTATTAAGCTAACATGAATGGGAACTCTTTCCAGAAATTTTTCTCAGAGTCTCAAAAGAGACCAGTATGTAGCTTGACAAGGGAAGTCAGTGCACAGCACTAACTGCCCAAATTCATCTGATCTCACATCTCACGAAAGAATATTCTTCAGCTGAAACTAATTTGTATTTTACTTTGAGGTCTGGAAAAAGAAACTGGGAGAATCCCTGACATATTTTTTTTTTAATCTTATTATTGTAGCTGGGCGGGGTGGCGCACACATTTAATCCCAGCACTCAGGGAGGCAGAGGCGGGAGGATCTCTGTGAGTTTGAGGCCAACCTGGTCTATAAAGCAAGTCCAGGACAGCCAGGGCTACACAGAGAAACCCTGTCTTTAAAAAAAGAGAAGAAAAGAAACTTCTTGTGGGTGCATTTCTATGCGTGCAGAAAGGAGGCAGGCAGCATGCGTCACAGTGCACAGGTGGAGGACAAAGGACCTGTAGAGTAAGTTCTCTCTCTCCTCCACCTTTACATGGCTTCCATGGGTAAACTCTGGCACTGCTCTTGTGTGCCAAATGCCTTTACTCAATATGCCGTATCACTGGCCCATCATTATCTTTTATATGAAATAACAGTGTTGCATACTTCAGTTTCAGTGTATCTGAAACTCAGCATCCCAAAGGTTTTGACTTCTGCCAACTCAATGAAGAGAAACTTCAAATGAAAGGAAAATGGAGAGAAAGGTACATAAAGAAACTAAAAGCATTCTTATAAGGAACTTCTGGGCAAATTCTGTCGTTTCAGAAATGAACTGGGCAGCAGTGTAGTGTAATATAGAATGCAAGCATACATGTAAAGCTTAATGCAAGAATAAGCTTTAGAATCAGAGACCTCGATTTGCATCTTGGCTCTGTTCAAGTTCTTGAGTGCTTGACTTGAACTCATGCTACCTCACCTGGCAAATGTCTCTAAGTGATTTTTGGTCTATTAAGTGTGTGTGTGGATGCTGAGGCTCAAGCTTAGGGCCTTATTTAGGAACATGCACTATATCCCCAATTCTTTGCTACTTCTCCAAGCTTATTTATCTAAAATGAGAAGATCTCACCAAATCATTGTGCAAAGCAAATGACATATAATCTACACAGGTTATTTGCATGATGTCAAGCAAATAGGGATTTCAAAAATGAAACCAATATTATAAGGAAAAATTACATATAATATTAATTTCCATATTACTGATCCTATATTACTGCAAAGGAATGGGGAAGCACAGATGAAGTTTATTAAAGTGAAGTTTAGTCTCCATGGCTGAGGATATAATTCATTCATAAAGCACAACCCTAAAAGGCAAAGGCCCCAAGGTTGATCTCTCGTATTAGAAAACAGAAGCTAACATGACAGAAGTGTAACTCTAAAAATTTAAGACAGTCAGAAAACACAAGATTATAGCCTTCCTAAAACCAACATGATGGCTTTAAATCCTTCTTACTATTACCAATGACAAGTTGTATTGTTTTTCTTGTAATTAAAATATTGTTGGATTGGGGCTGGAGAGATGGCTCAGTGGTTAAGAATACCATCTGCTCTTCCAAAGGACCCAGGTTCAGTTCTCAGCACCCAAAGGCAGCTCACAACTGTTTGTAACTCCAATTCTAAAGGATTTGAAACCCTCACACCAATGCACATAAAATAAAATAAATTATTTTTAAAATATTGTTGGGTAGTCAAAATGCATTGTATAAAACTCAAAGAATTAATAAAATGTTCAACATCCATCACATCTAATCATAAAAGATAAAAGTCTAATATATGATATTATATAACATATTTTACATCTATATGTATGTATATATATATATATATTTAAGAACTTTATATTATAATGAAACTTAGTTGTCAAGCACTGAAGCCTTTACACAAATTCTTGGGAAACGATCATTTATTTATTTTATTCACTTTACATCCTTGTAGTCCCTTCCCTCCTCTACTCCCAGTTTCATGTTCTCCCTTCCCCGTCTGAGGAAAAGGGGAGCTCCCTTTCCCATCCACACCAGGTCATCAAGTTGCATCAGGACTGAATGAGTCCTGTGGCCTGTGAAGGCAGTCCTACCAGGCGGAAGTGAATGAACACATTTAAATTGGTGAGTATCATACACAAAAATACCAGAGAAGCCACCAAAAGTATAGGCCAACAAGATGGCTCAGTATGTAAAAGTACTTGCTGCATAAGTCCAACAACCTAAGATCCATTCCCAGGTGTGTCCTCTGATCTTCAGATACACACATTTACATCATGCAGACAACACAAACACACACGCATGCACACATACAGATGCACACAATAAATGTTTAAAAAAAATTACAAGCAGTCATATTTTTGCTACTTGATAGCTTTAGTTGAAGTATTTCCAGTGAGTATAGATGTTTAAACAGTAAAATAATCTTGATTCTGCATTATTATATAAAACAGACTAAATGACTTATTAAAAACAACAACAAAATTATACAAACTATGCACAGAAAACAGTATGCACATCATAAAATATATTTGGGAACCTAAATTTTCACAAGATTCCAAGTATTTTTATATATTCACAAATTACAACCATGTTCATAAAATGGTTTGTATCAATAAAAACTATAATTGACTAATATTTAGTGAACATAAAATATTTTATACTAGTTAAAACCAGTAAACCTGAATCCAAGAAACAAATTTATAGTAACTATATATTATAATGAACTTAGAGACTGAAAACACAAGTTAAAAAAAAAATCCTAGTTCCAACAATTATTAATATTGACCATGAGCTAGTAACTTAATACCTCAGGACACTATTTCAACTTGTGTAATGAATAAACTTGAAAATTTATTGTAAAGAGTTAATTTTAATGTTTTAAACATTTAATTACTGCCTGAATGATTAACATTTTTAATGTTGGAGAGGATGTGGAGATGGAACCCTTATATGCTGCCAGTGAGACTGTAAATAAGCACAAATGGAAACATTATGGACATATCTCAAAAAAGGTGAGCATAAAACTATGGCATGATCCAGTTCTCCCACTACTCAGTATGTATCTAAGGAAATAAGGTCAGTAAACAGAAGACACTCGCATGCTGTCTGCACTACTGGAATATGTACAACATACAGGATAGAAAAACAGCCCAGGAATCTGTCAACCACTGAACAGGCGAGGAAAACATGGCATGCCACATAATGTGGTACTAATGTTAACCATGAAAAAATATTAAATTCTATCACTTGCAGGAAAATGAATGAAACAAAATACACCAGACATAGGAAAGTGCCACATGTTCTCACTCACATGCAGAAAAAATACACAAAAACAACTGCTTTAAGTATAAGAGGGATTATCAAAGACTAGGTATGATATGTGGGTGTTGGTGGCTAAGGCAGAAAAATAAATGAACATGATCAAAACATAACATGCATGACGTAAACACCATACGAGTCCCATTAATTTATAGAAATAATATGCATTAACTTCTGAAAGACAATAGCTGGAATGTTACATGATCTGTGATGATTCAGACAAGTATATGTTTCTCCAAATGGAGAAAACTTTTTTTTTATAAAAGGAAAGGAACAGACCCAAAGTTCTGGTTTTCTCTCCTGAAAAACATATCTTCTTCTTCAGTATATTCAGTATCAAAGAAAATGTATTAAGTAGCAAGAAATAATTAACTTTTTTAAAATTAGCACTTGGGAAGCTGAGGCAGGAGGATTACTGTGAAGTTCAAGGACAGCATGGTCCCACAGTGAGTTTGAGGCCAGCGCAGGCCATGGATAGAGTGAGACCCTGCCTCAAAAGCAAACCTATGAGCTCTAACTGTGACATCTGGCTGTAGCAGAACAAATAGAAACATGTGCTGTCTGATGACAAGTTGGTAAATGAGAGAACACTATCTGACAATGGTTCTACAAGATTCTATCACTTAGTGAGTTGTATCTATCTTAGTTTGAGTAAGTATACTTGGTGATATTCATCCTAAAGATATATTTCTCAGAATGTATCATCCTATAAGATGTAACTGTTAGGTCACCATCCTGGTTAGCTATGAGAAATAAAAACTGAATTTTTTAAAAGATACTGTTCATATCAGACTTGCTCATATACTAAAGAAAAGTCCATCTTGAAAAATTTCGGGGGGAGGGGGGGAGACAACCTAAAGTTTACTTGACAAGTGAAATCTGGATTCTTTATTTTGTTTGTTTTTCAAGACAGGGTTTCTCTGTGTAGTTCTGGATGACCTGGAACTTGCTTTGTAGACCAGACTGGCCTCGAACTCATGAGGTCTACCTGTCTCTGCCTTCCAAGTGCTGAATACGAATTCTTTTAATGCACACAAGATAACTTTGTTACTGACACTGTCTTCCTAAGTGACAAAGCCATACCATTTTACAATAATCAAAGTGTTTAAAAATACTTCTGCTGTGTATTTTTCATCTCTCTAAAAAAAGTAGTATTTAAAAGACAAAAGAAGAGGTATGCTGACTAATCAGAATTCAGGAGTTCTGATAACCTTTGAAATTCTTGTTATTACATATTTCATCAATATGTTAAATGTATTTTTCTGTTCTATTAACTATATTGCTATAAAGTAAGCAATGAAGTAACATAAAAACTTTCAAAGATATACCCTTTAACAATGAGAAAAACAAGAATCCTTACTGTGGAATAATGTCAGAATTGACCAAGTGTTTTCAACTACGAAGTCCAAGAGTTAATAGAAAGACAGAACTACGGAATAGTTTCATTTCCAACCTCTCTAAAAACTTGTTGGCAACATCTTAAATACCCGGGCATAAAACACAAAAACATTACTGCTGTGTATGCTCTCACATTGCTATAGCAAGAATAAACTGGTGAATAGTAACAACAGTCAGAAAAACATAATTGGCAGTATGTTCTGTAAGCCTTTACAGTGTTTCTATTATTTTCTACTTTTCTATATTTTCTAATTTGTTGTAACTTGTTTAATACAAAGTCTCCTAATTTTAAAAACAGACAAGTTTTCTTTTTACCTTATGACTAGGAATTCTACAAGAAATAGAATTCCATTTATAAAACTTCTAAGAGTTATCTGAATAAAAAAAAAAATTGGGCTGGGAAGGTGACTCAGTGAATAAAATTTCTTGTTACACAGCGTAAGGACCTTCACTGTATTTATATGTTCTAGACAAATAGGTAGTCAAGAAACCAAAGCAACTTATGACTTTAAATGGTATGTGTATCAATGTCTAATGGAAAAAAAAAAAAGTATTTCTTAAACTGAAATGTCGCCATGCAAAAAAATCATATAAATTTTAGTATCTTTAAAGAGTTATAAATAATTCTAGTTTCAATCAAGATAAAAACCTATCCCCATGTAGACAGTGAGTAGCTCCTTCTCTAACGGGCTCTACTGAGATTGGAGTATTTAGATATTTGCCTAGTTCCTAGACTGGGATGTTTGACTACTGAATGCTGCCTCGGCCTAGCCTGGGCTGAGCCAAGTGAGAGCTAAGAGGCAGAGTGCCCACTGACAACTGAACATTCTGGGAGAGGACAGCCTTGGCCTCAGTCCTACTTCCGTTCACACGGGCTCTGAGATCTTGGACAAAGTATAAACCTTGTGTCTCACTTTTCTCACCTATGACATGGGAATGTATGTGTATGTGTATGTGTATATGCAGGTATGTGTATCTATATACATATATGTGGGTGGGTGTCTACATCTATTTACATATACACACTATATATATATTAATATGTTCTAGTTCTATAATGATATTTAAATCAGTTTACTTGTTTAAAAAGATAAAACTTGATTATGTAATGCAAACCCAAATTAACATATAAAAATTGGGGTTGGGGATTGAGCTCAGTGGCAGAGCAAGCATAAAGCCCTGGATTTGGTCCTCAGCATTGGAGGGGGAAAAAAAAACATAATAAAAATTCTGGTAGTGACATGTTCAAATATGAATCAAAACAAACCTTTGTCATTTGTTTTTCTTTTTCTAAGACAAGGTCTTACTATGTAGCTCTGGCTGTTCAGGAACTCACTATGTAGACCAGGCTGGCCTCAAACTTCAGATTCACCTGCCTCCACTTCCCAAGTGCTGGGATTAGAAGGATTTACCAACTATGCCCAGCTAAAACTTAATAATAATAATAACATTTTTAAAAGTCAAAAACAAGGCCAGCAAGATGACTCAGGAGGATAAGGCACTTGTTGCCAAGCTTGACAACTTGAACCTAATCCTTAAATCCCAATACAGAAGAACAGAATCAATTCCCACAAGCTGATCTTTAACCTTCCACATTCATGTTGGGCACATGTCCCCACATACAAGTAAGTAAACACACAAACAAGCAAACGTTTATAAATGATAATAAAGCACCTTGCAGTTCTGCAGAAGTCGTATGAGGTGCTCAAAGCAATTGCTATTCAGAAAAATGGCCTGAAGAACGGGTCTGTCCGTGCAGTCCAACATGGCTGTGATGGTGTCTATAAAAACAAAAACAAAATCACGCTGTAAAAGTGACATTTGAGATTAAATAGCTATTGTTATCATTTTAAACATTTAGTCTTTTCAGCTGACAGATGTAAATTAACTGGGAAATAGTATAGGTGAGGAACAGAAAACAAAAGCTGTGATTAAGAAAAGTGAACATTTCATCCTTTATAATTCAAGCTAGCTTAAGTTTTATATGTGACTGGCAAATATATTTCAACTTGCTTAGGTGTCCTATCGTAAGGCTCAGTTCTTGTGTCTGATTTGCTATTAGTAAGCAGGATCTTTTTATGATATTTAGTGGTCATATTTAAGCACTAGTAAATGAATACATGGTTCATTTAAGCAATAATACTTATATTAGTTATCTCTCACTTCCCACTGCATTGATAATCCAATTGAGAAATCAAAGGGTATCTGGCATGACAAATATCATAGTTCCCAATGAAAAATAATTCTATCCAACAGAAAAACAAACTTACTTTTAAACTTACAACCTACCAAAAAAAGACATTAAGGTACATGAACTAAAAACTATACAAAATGATTTATTTTTTCTATATAAGTAAATGTTATAATGGATCATTTCCAACAATATTTATGCACAATATTTCTAATTAAAACATATATAAATTTATACCCCAAATAATTACTGTTTCTTATATCTGGGTGATGAGATAAAAAAAAAAACTGTATTCTCTTTTTTCTTACTAACTCTCCCAGTTTAGCTGTAACGACAATATATACCTCTGAAATGAGTACAGTTCTTTAACAATCTAACACAGGGAATACAAGAACCCTATAAAGTATTGATCACAATTCACAACATACTGAACTGTCATCACGGTCTCCACCAATGAAACTTTAAAATTCTTTGTGCATAAGACACTTGGCAAATCTGTTGAGAAATGGCATGCTGTGGTTCCGAACCTTACTTGTTGCTCTACTTCCATAACATAAAATACTAAGATAAAAGGAAATGTCATTCCTTTGTATTAGGCTGTGTATTTTAATTGTAGTTTCTGTCATTTTCAATTACTCATGCCTACATATAAAACTACAAGACGGATTTAGACGAACAATAAAAAATAAGTAATGATCAACTGATATGTTTAATCTGGATTCTAGAGTCAGGAATGAACTATTTCACTATATATATTTCACTATTTTTTGGCATGCATTATCCCCTCTTCAGGATCACAGAGATGGCGATGCACAGAGGATGGGCCTATGATGTCAGGGTCTTTGCCTTTCCATGCCAGTTCTGCTCAGTAGGAGCTGAGAGACTTTGGGGAAATTACTAAATATCTGACTCCTATACATTCATCCTTTAGAAGAGAATAATGAACTTGAGTCACCTATTGTTGATTGAAACAATTGATGGAAAGTATGTTCTACACTAATACACTGTAACCAAAACAAAAAATGAGGTTTTTTTTGAAGGAAAAAAAAAAAACCATATAAACTGGTTAGAGTTTTCAAAGCATAGAAACCAGATACACTTGCAGAGGGTCACAAAAAGAAGGGAAGAAACACACAAGGGTCCTCTGTGACTAGATAATCTGTTCTAAAGAACAGAAACGTTAGAGACATATACCTAATTAATCTTCATCATAAGTAAGAGACTACAAATGGTGCCTCCTCAACACTTATTCTTCCTGGCAATTCTAGTCATAACTGACTTTCTCTTTAGCATAAATACTTTAATGGACTAGACTTTCAAAAGGAATATAGATAAGTTTCTCCTTCATAAAGTAAAAATGTAAACAAATCAATTCCATATAATTATTTGGAAGTCAAAAAACTAAATACTCATACCTAAACCAGTCAACATTTTTAATACAAAAGACCTGTATTAAAAGAAACTGAGAATAAAAAGTAAAAATAACCTGAGGGAAAACTTCATTGAGTACTTACTCAGCATCTTAATCTGCAGAGCTATGAACTGGCTTTCCCACCGCCTGGACCTCCTCTGTTTAGGCAAAGCTGAGTGATCTGAATTGAGTAATTTGAAATAGTTCTCCAGTATGGTACTAGTTTCCACCTGACGCTGGTCAGAGCTGCTAGTAAGAAGGATATGCACCACTTGTGTAAGGCATTTCAGGGTTAGTTCTCTCTTTCTACCCACTTCCTCAGGATCTCCTTCTTCCCATGAATCACAATCAGACAAAACTCTCATAAGAACTTCCATGGTAGCTGGAGAAATTGCTTGCAAAGCATTCCTCTGAAACATTAAAAACAATAAAAAATAAAAGTAAATTTAAACAAGGTGTTATACATTTGCAATGAGAATAGTATGGCTATGGGTAACTTTTTCTTTTAAATAAATTAACATAAAGTTATTAATAGATAATAGATATTAATAGACACTGTAAATGTTACCTATATCTAAGCCTTATTTTGCTCACTACTAACCTGCAACTCACTTTCCGTCCTTTGTGGCTAAAAGCAAGCATGTAAGATAGTTCTGCTCACAAAACAGAGAACAAAGACTATGAAAAAGATAACTTTTTAAGCAAATGAAATGAGGCTCTTTTTATTTTCTTTCTTTTTTTACTCCCAGCCTGGAGAGTAGATACAATGCTTGTAGCCACCTTTACATTAGAAAAGATAAAAGCCAAGAATTAAACTGTAGGCAGAGAACAAAGCGCAAAGTGGGACATTCAAAGGGTCTTAGCCCATGAATATTTCCCAGAGTTTCTGTACTCACTGCCTGCACTTAAATTTCTTAATCAAGAATTTTTAAACATCAATTTCAGACAGGCATGATGGCACAAGCCTTTAATCCCAGCACAGTGGAGGCAGTGACATGTTGATCTCTGAGTTCAAGACCAGCCTGATCTCCAGAGTGAATTCTAGGACAGCCAGGGCTACACGGAAAAACCCTGTTTTGGGGAAAAAAAAAAAAAAAATCAGTATCATTAAATCTCTTAGATTTTTACGCTATTTACAGTAACTCCATCTCAAATGACTTAGTTATATAAAATGACCGACTGATTCTACAAACGTTTCTGAAACTCCTTATATTAAGCAAGTGATTGCTGTTGAAATATAATGAAGCCAGGCCTATACTCCCTGCTATTTGGGGAGTTTAACGTAAGAAGACCAAAAGTTCAAATCTTGCTTGGGCTACAAAGTAAATTCAAGGCTAGTGTGGCCAATTTAGTGAGACTCTGTCTCAAAATTTAATTGTTAAAAAAAAAGAAGGATGTGGGTGGGAGTATACAGCTCAGTCTAGAGCAATGTAAAGCTGTCCAGCAAAACAAGAGAAAAACAAAATGTAATAAATATAATTGTGGAACTGTCCATAAGTCAGTCTCCTTATTACCAACAATAAAATTAACAATAAATAATATTATGGAAGAAAGCACTGATGTCATTCTCAGTATTCAATCTCCCCTAAAATCTTTACTACTAGAACCCTGATGTTTTCCTGGCTACATGTCTACCAAGAATAAAGACCAAATTGCCTACTTCCCCTGCTGTGTAGAAGGCCCAGGAAGTGAGTTTACCATCTGGACATGCCTGCCTCTTTTACAGTCACAATGACTGAGTTTAGTAAATGAGATACAGAAGAACTGAGCAGATGCAGTAGCACACATCTCTAATTCCATCACCTGAGAGGTAGAAGAATGCAGATCTCTATGAATTTGAGGCTAGCATGATCTACAAAGTGAGTTCCAAGCCAGTCGAGGCTATACAATGAGATTTGTCTAAAAAGGAAGGGAGGAGGGAGAAAGATGAAATAAGAGTGATTGCCAGTTTCTTAGTATTTCCTTAAAAGACAGTTTGCTCATGTTGGTATCTCCTTCATGATCCCATTTTTGTACTCCAAATGCCGACATTATGGTCAAAATTCTAGCAGCTACTAACAAACTGACATTAAGAAAGAATCAAGAAAAATTAAAAATTAAAAAAAAAAAAGGAAGATTCAAGAATCCCTGAAGAGCCTGGATCCACCATGTTAACTCCAAACAGTTTACTTCCTTTTTATTTTCTTTCTTTCCCTGAAATGCTGTGGACTGAACCCTGGGCTGCCGCATGCTGAGTGTGCATGTCTCACTAAGCCACACCTCCCACTGCACAACTGCAGTTTTTGATTCAGAGACAAAAGCAAACTGAATTAAAGGCTTGGATAATTTAATCCTTATATAGCAAATCATAAATTGAATACAATTCTAACTTCCTTAGTTTTCACAACTACAGGCCACTTTGTTCACTCTTTTTCCTTATATGTCCTTTAGTCCTTGTAACTATTCTCTAAATGTCACTGTTTCCAGATTATAAATAAGAAAACCAAAAGACAAATAATATATCTGAGCTCAACTTCTGTGAGATGGACAGGATTCACACCTAGGTCAACCCCAGTGTTCTTGTTCCTAACAAAACACAACAGGTTCTTTTATGTTTTCACAGAACCAAAAAGCAAATATATCAATAAAAAATCTAGCACAATGCTTTGGGACAGACCTGTCATTAGACTCTATCCCCCTCCTTTTACTTATAGTAAGATCATCCTTATTATCATCAACTTTTCAACTCAACTAAAATTGCTTTAGCCTGACACAACACCCAACAAGCAATCCCCTGCCTTCAGTAAGTCTAGCTGACTTACTGATCACAAAGATTCTGAGTAGTTTTAGTACATACGATAACAAATCAAGTCTGGTGTCTATTTTTTTCATGGTAAGTGTTCACTAGAGAATCATCTTTGAGCTTCATAACCTGGAGTACTAAGAAGAGTATGTGCCTCTAGGTGATCAAAGGTGAATGCGATACAACTATGTTCTCCACCAGTCAGTGACAATACCACTTCTATTTCTTTCATGTCTATCTGTCAATTCTTATACTCAATAGTGGAAAACGATAGAAATTGTGAGATAATGCACCAAAAGAAGAAAATCAGCGAATACAGCAAAGTCATGAAACAAACTTAAAACAGAAAGCAAGGCCAAGCACTGGTGACCCATGCCTTTGATCCCAGTAACTGAGAGACAGAGGCAGGCAGACCCCTGTGAGTTTGAGGCTAGCCTAGTCTACAAAGCTAGTTCTAGGACAGCCAGAGATATACAAAGAAATACTGTCTCAGAAAAACGAAACAAAAAACAAAAGTAAGATCTAGACAACCATTCCTTTCATCTTAGGAAGACTACTATCTTCCACCAGGAAGAAGAGAAGTCCATAAAACCAAGGAAGCCTAATAGAAACACTGGATTCTAAAGAGGGAATAAGAGAAATAAATCAGAGAAAGAAATTTCAGCAGTAATCTAAAAGTGAAAGGTGTGAATATGCACTGGATATAAAGACCATTAAATGAAAAATATGGTAATATAGATAAAAACAAAAATAGAAAAGATAAGGAGGGAATTTCAACAGTGGGAAACCCAATCTCAGGCTGGATTTACATACTAGAAAACACACTTGAATATACCTATATTAGAAACATTCATTAAACGGGATCTAGCACAGAAGAACATGCCTGCAATTCCAACATTCAGGAAAGGCAGGAGGATCAAGGCCAGCATAGGGTTACATAGTTAGGCCCTAACTAAAAAAATCCTATCTGAGGGGGAAAAAAAAAAAAAGGAGAGGGGATTACATATAAATATAGCAAATAATCTGTTTATGGATCTCCTTGAGAATAAAACAGTAATCTCTCAAGTCTCCAAATAAAACATTAAACTATAGCCCTGTATCCAGTGTCCCTAGTTGGGCTTCCTGGTGGATATAGGGATTTCTCATCACCTGATAGAAGATAACAATCTAAATATGAAAGATAAACTGTCAGATAATGAACAGTTCCTGTTGCTATGTAACCAAAAGTTCTTACTGGCATGAAAAAGAGCCTTTGGAAGGAGGGGGAAATAGGAGGAATAGTATCGGGGTAGGGGCTGGGAGGAGAGGAGAAAGGAAGCTGGGATTGAGATGTAAAGTGATTACATAAACAAACAAACAGACAAACAAATGGGGAGAAGCCCTCATGAGAGCTCTCAAAAACAGAAGTATGCCTTGCTGAACACTGACCAGATTACTTCTAAATACCCAAAGTGATAAGGTATATGTAGAATAGCAATGAAATTTTATATTTAAATAAAATTAAAGTTTTTCAAAAATACAGAATTCTAGATTTTTAGATAAAATTAAAATTTATACATGTAATTTGCTATATGTAAAAGACTGTTCCACGTAAAATAAAAGACTACTATTTCAAAAGAAGATACGAAAGGATTTTCAATCTCAGAGAAAGAAAAAAAGGGGAAAGCAGGCAAAGTGGTGCAGGCCTTTAATCCCAGTACTCAAAAGGCAGAGGCAGGTGGATCTCTGCGAGTTCCAGGACAACCTGATGTACAAACTGAGTTCTAGGACAGAAAGGGCTATACAAAGAAACCGTCTCAAAAAAAGAAAGAAGGAAAGAAAAGCAAAACAAAGGAAGAGGCAAAAGAGGGAACTCAAGAAAAAAAAAATCCATACACTTGAATTTTAAAAATGTATTTCTAGTACTTTCTATCTAAAATTTAGTATTTCATTCAAATTTAAATGTAAGCAACAAAGCACATAATTATATAAGCAATACTTATGATTTTGTCACTAATTAAGATTCTAGGTACTTTTCCTATATTATAGCTGTTAAAACATAACAAGATCCTGTTTGGGCTATCAAATGTTGGTCTTCCTGGTTAGATATGCTGTTCTCTCAATCTAGCCTCAACAAATCCTCCTGTCTCACCTTTCTGCACATCTTTGACTAAAGCACCATGCCTGATTAACTGCTGTGTTTGCCTGTATCATGCATGGCGGCCATACATTCAACCTCAGCACCACATAAAAAAAAAAAAAAAAAAAGCACACACACAAAAGCACATATTACTGTGTCACAAATCTGTTTTATCACCATTTCAGCAACTAAATTTCAAAGTAGTTTTTCTTTTATAATAAATATTATGCTTTAGACATTTTAAAAAATTTAAAAGGAGCTTTACTAAACTCCAGAAGGGGTATACAACACAAAATGCACAAAAAGGGTAAAGAATCTCTCATTTAAATTGCATGGTTCAAAAAAACATGTAAAACATTCTCTCTGAATTATTAGCCTGTTGGCAAATAGTAATTGTACTCAGAAACATACTTTAGAGACAGCAAACACAGAATAACTAAAAATTCAACTTTGTAAATAATGAAATTAGTTGTATAAATGTATTTAGTAATTGCAAGTAGACAGCAGAGTGCCTGAATTCATGACAAAATCAAACTGGCTAGAATTTTATTTCTTCATGCCTATATTAAGGCCGATTTTGCTATACTTTAAAATAATAACCAGTAATTAATAGCCAAGAGAAATAAGAACCTTTAATAAGAAAGCATGTCCAAACTAGTCATCTAGTAATATTGTCAGTGTTAATGTTACTTGGATTTTTAGGGACTATTTTAAGAAGTTTAGTCTTAAATTAAATATGAATTTAAAAGTTATCTGAAGCATCGAGTCATAAAAAGACATGAACTGTATTAAGTATTCCAAGGAGAGACTTTTGTGCTGTTAACTACTCATACATTAACTTTCAACACTGTCCTCACCTGCCCACCGGCTACAATGGCTCCAAAGAGATGCAATAAGCAACACTTAAGACTTTCCTTGAGATGTTCACTTTCCTGAAAACATTCTGTGAATATAATACACAAATAAACAAATAAATAAGATTTCTATTTCAGAACACAATTCATGTCTAAGGAATCTTGAAACTAACACATGAAGAACTATATATAAAAAGACTTAATTCTGTCAAAAGGCAAGGCTGACAAACATTTGTCATTTTTCATGTAATCCCCACAGTACTCATATAAGGGCATCCTGTCCCATTAAGAATAAGGTAGTGTAACGTAAGTTATTATCTCACCTGGAGTAATATGGTCCTAAGTGACAGAACCAGAACTTATGCCAGTCCTAACTTAAAATCAATGTTTCCTTAACAACTGACCCTCACTTTGGTGAATTACAAAATGAAAGAGTTAAATAAAAAGGTTTCCTAAATCTACTCCAAAGATCAATAGCCTAGACTTCTAGCGCCTACATGTCTTTTAACATAATAAAATATTTTGCTATTTTTAAATGCTATATATGCACATGCCAAAGAATAACTAAGGCCGAAAAACAAGACAATTAGGAAGTTCCCCTTTAACCTGTTCCTCAATTTATCAACCTTCCTCTACCCTAAAAATAAATTTTTTTTTAAAGAAAAAAAGAGCTATACAATATATAGTCTTTGTGAGAAACCCAGGGAATATTGGTTCCTAGACCCTTGCCTCAGAATACAAAAGCCATGGATGTTCAAAGTGAGTAAAATTTGTTTGTAACCAATGCCGATCTTCCAATATATGTTAAACCATTTCTAAATTACTTAGACTATCTAAAATGATCTAAATAGGTAAGTAACTCTAATACTGTACCCATTAAGAGATGAAAACAAGAAAAAGTCTGTACATGTATAGATCTAATTTCTTCCCCACTGCATGACTGTTGGTTATAGGGAGCTGAATCTGCAAACGTGGAACTCATGGATATGGAAAACTGACTGTACTAAACAAACTTTTAGCTTCTTAATTTTATACATTATAAATTCTAAAGTACTACTATATTAAAGAGGCAATCCACCTTATTCATCTTTATCACAAAAAATAAAATACCAGTGTGATGAACATCTCTTTAAGCAGTCTTCCCTGACTTACATTTCCAGCTCTCGCTGACCAGTTCTCTACTGACAGACAAACCTGTCTCCCCAAGGATTGGGAGAGTGGTGGTAATTCATGTACATGTATTTATCCCCCTTGACTCTGTCCCCTGAACACTGGAATTACAGGCATCACTCAGGATCAACACTCAGGGTGATCTTTTCTAGTTGCATCCATTTGCCTGCAAATTTCATTATTTTCTTGCTTTTAACTGCTGAGTAATATTCCACTGTGTAAATGTACCACAATTTCTGTATCTACTCCTCCGTTGAGGTCTGGGTTGTTTCCAGATTCTGGCTATTATGAATAAAGCTGCTATGAAAATGGTTGAGCAAATGTCCTTGTTGTATATTTAAGCGTATTTCTGGATATATGTCTAGGAGTGGTATAGTTTGATCTTGAGGTAGCCCTATTCCAGCACCAGATTGATTCCAGAGCGGTTGTACATTCCCACCAGCAATGGAGGAGGGTTCCCCTTTCTCCACATCCTCTCCAGAATGTAATGTCACTTGAGTTTTTGATCTTAGCCATTCTGATGTGTGTAAGTGAAATCTCAGGGTCATTTTGATTTGCATTTCCCTGATGACTAAAGACACTGAACATTTCTTTAAGTGTTTCTCTGCCATTCAATATTCCTTTATTGAGAATTCTCTGTTTAACTCTGTATCCCATTTTTTATTTGGATTACTTAATTTGTTGGTGTTTAACTTTTTGAGTTGATATTAGCCCTCTGTCAGATATAGAGTTGGCAAAGATCCTTTCCCAGTCTGTAGACTGTCATTTTGTCCTTTGCTTTACAGAAGCTTTTCAGAAGAACAATTTTTTTTTTTCTTTTTAAGCAACTGCTCTTAGAATGAACTGACAGGTATAGTCTAGGATTTCCGATTATCCTGCTAATTTACCTATGCACAACAAGACTGGAACCTAGGTGCTTTCATTTGTATGACCATTTAGCTTTTGTTAGAGAACTGATCTGCTCCTGTAGAGATCAGCCATAACTTACATCCTATCTAGCACCTTTGCTAAACTGCAAACAAGTATAAACCCCATGGAGGGCAGGATAATAGGATTACCATAGCCCAGGCCCAAGGTTGCCTAATATTCTAGCCAGTACCTTCACTAAACTGTTAAACTCAAAGCTACTCTCGGCTGCAGAGTCTGAAAATGTATAAATTTTCCTTTGCTCTCTGTGTTTTTGTTGGTCCTCCTACTCCAGCTTCCCCAGCGGCAGGTGGAGAGCCTCCAGCATCACTCAGGGGTACTCCCCTGAAATACGATTCAGTACATCTCTCCAGTGAATCTTCCAAGAATCTTTATTGCTTAAAACAGTTTTTATTCCATCTACAGACATGGAGAATGTCATTTTAGCATATTAAAATTCTTACTACATATATTTAGGAAGCTATAAATTATATCGCTTAGGGAATTTCTCTTAATTCTAAAGTAGAAATGATTAAAAAAAAAAAAAAAGAGCAACTGTATAAAAGCACTGTTTTAAATACCTTCACCGTCTCCCCCTGCCCCCGTCAGGAGGCACTTGTGCTTTTATTGAGGTTGAATATTTTATGTATATGCCTGGTGTCACCTCATCTACCTAATATACAAAAGTAGGTTCAAGGTTCAGAGAGATGGATGGTAGGTTAAAAGTGTTTGTCACCAAGACAAACAACCTGAGCTTGACCCCAGGATGCACATGTTACAGAGAACCAACTTCTGCAAACTATCTTCTGACCTCCACACAAGTAAACTGTGGCACACTCCTGCAGACACAGGACAAATAAATAAATGACTTTTTAAAATCCTTTTTTAAAAAAGGAAAGATCTATGTTGGACACTGACCCCTGACCCTTGTGGTGAATGTAAAGTTTCAAACCAAAGACCACTGGCTGAGGTGCCTATTTAACATATCAGAGCAGATCTGACCACCAAGTTCTCCCTGCATCCCTCAGTCCCTACCTGTTACAGGGTAAGGCTGGCATGCCCTGCCCCTATCTAAACTTCTCCAGACCCAGGGCTGGGCTGCCCTTCTTCTAGTGGCTCTTCCCTTATAATCATCCATTTTGGCCATGCTGGTCCTCATTTGTCTACCCTTTCCTCTCCTGGCTCTTCACTTCCTCACATGTCCTGGTTCAGTCTGGCCCTGTTCACTCTAGACCCTTCCAATGCCTCTGGCTGTGCTCTCCCACACATCTACAACAAACCTTTCCCTCTACCATACCTAGGAGCAGTCATACCATCCTTCCTTTTCATTTCGGTTTTTTTTTTTTCATTCAGTGACTAACTTTGAAAGTTGATCTCTAGATTTTTCAAGGAGAAAATGGATCATACCTACTATAATTTTAAAAATAATTTGATTAAGTCTTTGCAACTTGTGTGTTTTAATGACTGTCTCATTTTTTTCCCTCTTATTTACATCCAACCCACCCTCAAATAGTACTGCAAATCTAATTCCTTTCTGGATCCCCTTGATTGTCCTCTGAGGCCTAAAAGACCTCAAACCCTTAAAGACCTTAAACCCTTCTACATCCCACTTCAGTCAAAAGCACACAGATTAGCCCAATGTTACTCTGCTAAATGACTTTAGGGCCTTGACTCTTAGTATGTGTGGAGAGGGGCAGGGGTGTTAAGATAGCTAACTAGGTATTAGCAGACTTAGAAGACACTGAGGTTCGAACTCAATTAACCAAAGGTCTGACATAGTAGGACTTTAGTTACTGTTCAGAAGAGTAAGAATCTGATTCTCAGAAGACCACACCACGGTTTCAGTTGTTTTGTTTTGTTTTGTTTTAAAAGAACAGCAAGATGGTCCAGCTAGTAAAGGATCTTGCTGTGCAAAACTAATGACCTGAGTCCTATGTTTGAAAGCTATGTAAAAGCAGAAGGAAAGAACTGACCCCACGAAGTTGACCTTAATATGCGCACTGCAGCATGTGTGCCCATACGCATTTGTCATGCACAGACACACACAATAATTAAAAACTAAATCAATAAGCTGAATGCATTGTAAAGCTAGATGGTATAGTACTAGCTCTCTAATGGAAATACGAAGTACTAAATCAAAGATTATTTTCAGTCTTTAAGTCTAACGGCATTTGTTACCTTTCCAGATTTTATGATAGCTTGAAATACGTCACCCTTTTCTTCCTTCCAATTTCTCCGTTTAGAATGAGAGCCCACATTCTATACCTGATTCCCCAGTGCATACTGAAGTGCCTATCACAGGCGTCCTGCTGAAGAGGGATACATACTCACTGTGACTACCCCTCAGATTTGCTCATACCTGATTACGAAACAGTAAGAGGAGACTTAGATTATAGACTACTGAAAGCCAGTATTGGGATGTGTTACGATGTTCTGGACTATCAGGATAAAATGAACATATTTTACACGTGAGAAACACACGAATTTGGGGAATATAGCAGGGATACAGTAGTTTAGACTGAACTATCCCTCCCAAACTCAAATATTGATGTTTTAACTCACACACCCACATGGCTAAACTGGAGACAGGGCTTTTGAAGAGATGATTAAGGTTAAATAAGATCAGAAAAGTCAATGCCTGATACAAGACTGACATTCTTGTGAGAAGAATACAACAAGGAGAAAACCATAAGCAGGCCACAGAGACCTCACCAAAATCCAAACCCTGCTAGGACCTTGATCTTACAATGTCAAACCCCCCCCCCAAAAAAAATGAGATTATAAACTTCTGTATTTAAGCCACAGACTCAAATATTCTGTTATAGCAGCCAAAGCATACTAAAACAATTATTCTGATTTAAAACTACACAAAGGGGCTAGCAAGATGGCTCAGTACACAAAGAAATTTGATGCCAAACATGACAGTCTGAGTTCAATCCCCAAACTGTTCTGTGACCTCCGCAAAGGCACAATGGTAAGAGTGCCTGGGTGTACACACACACACACACACATACAATTTTTACTGCACAAGATATAAAATGAAAAAAAATCTTACAGACTCATACATGCAGGTCCCAAAATGCAAGGCTAGGTTTAATTAACATTGAGAATCAGGAAAACCAAGAATGTATATTTTATATGTATATGTTTGATACATATAAAACCTTAAGGAACAGCAAAAGTGTTTGTACAACTTAGATATGAATTTCTTTAGCAATATAAAATCAATATATAAAAACTGTTTCTATGTACTAGAAACAATAAACAATATAACCAAAAATCATTTGTAAGAAAAAAACAAAGTACTTTGAGATAAATTAACAAATTATGTGCATAATTTGCACATATAAAGACCTAAGACTTCTAAAGGCCACTGTATTTCTAAACCTGGGTGGATCTTATTCCAGTTTGACCTCATAACTTTATATGACAGATTTAAAGAACAGTCCTTAGGCAGCTACATAGACTTCAGCTGAACAGAAACATACTATTGTATTGACTTGTTGGGTTTCCTGTCCTGTATCTTAAAAGTGAGGCCAATCTAAGCATAGCTTATTATGAATATATGCATTTGATTATCTAGGGTAAAGTCAACCACTATGGGTAATGATACAGGGTATGTATCATAGCTGTCTTCACTAAGCAAACAAGACAATTTCTGTCTTACTTTATTGCACTGGGGGCAGAAAGCAGACAGTGAAGTAAATGTGACAAATGTTAAGAGCTTATATGTTCCAATAAGCAATACACTCAAGAAACAAAGCGTTCCTTTTATATTTTCTAAGTATATTTTTATTTTTCTACATTCTTGAAAGATGGCATAATTTTTCTTTTTATAAGACAAAGTCCTATGTTTCCCAGGCTGGCGTCAGACATGCTAAAGATGACATGATCCTCCTAGTTCTACCTCGTCATGGCTCTAACTCATGGCTTAGCATGTAACACTGTGCTCCATTAGTACAGGTATAGGAATTAAACCTAGCACATGGTAAGCAAACAGTCTACTAACTGAAGTACATTTATAGCACCAGCACAATTTCTTTTTTTGTTCAGGTTTATTCGTCTTTATTTTATGTGTAGGAGTGTTTACCTACATGTATGTATGTGCACCATGTGTATGCAGAACCCAGGGAGGCCAGAAAGGAGTGTCATATCCCCTGAAACTGAAATTACAGGCAGTTATGAACGCCATGGAGGTACTGGGAACCAACCACATTCCTCAACAAAGAAGCAAGTGTTCTTAACTATTGACCCATCTCTCTAGCCTCCAGTATAAACATTTTTTTTAAGCATGAAAACTAGCCAGATGAGGTGGCATGTGCCTCTAATGACAACACTTAGAAAGAGATCAGAAGTCATCCTATAGTTAAATTTGAGGTCAGGCTAAGAGACATGGAATCCTGCCTCAGTGTAAAATCAGAAGTGAGAGAGAAACCAAAATATTTACAGTTATGCACATATAAAGTAGTCAAGTCTCTTAACTGTTTAGGTATAAAGTGGCTTGCTTTCTGGTTCTAACAATCAAATGGCAGGTTTGGTGCATGTTAAATGTGTGTCCTTAAAATATCCCTAGCCAAGTTTTTGGTTTTTAATAAAAAATTATGAAGTTCTAAAATATACAATCTTTAAAATGCTCAGTTTATCAAAACAATAGATCAGCTCTTCTAAAAAGAAAAACATGGATAAAACTAATCAAACTGAGAACCATAATCACAATGAAACACAAATTAACTAATCCAGTGGTTTTATTCTTTAGCAGCCTTTACCTTATAAACTCACAAAACAAATTATAGTCAGAATCGGAGTAAGAAAAAAAAACAGTAATCAGAGTTGATCAAAATCAAAGTAAAGTAAATTTGAGTGTTACTTACGATAAAAGAAGGGAACAAACTCCACTGTGAGAGAAGCCGGTTTGTATTTCTGTCTGCTCTTTTCCACAGAACTGAGGATTCGTCTATCATTAGAAAAGAAATCAGTAACAAATTACAACATGAGCAAGTAGAGATGGCACAATTTAAAAGTAATTATAAACAAGTTTAACATTCAGATTTTGGTTTATATTCCAAACAAAACATCTTCAGGACTGGTGCAATGAACAAAAAAAAGCTAAAAGAGTAACCTAAGTGCTTACCAACTAGAGAATATTTTTTATTATGCATTATAATAGCCAAGATAAGTCTCCAAATAACTGGGAATTTTAAAAGCCAGCATTTAAATTTCCAATCTGCAGAAGAATTTGCATGGCAGTTCTGGCAAAATGATGCTAAGGCTATGACAGTATTACTTGAAGACCTCAGAAACTGTGCTGCGTCTTACTGGAGTTTTATTCAGCTACAATGGGTCCAGACCTTTAAGTTCCCACATCTTAATGATGCAGATGTGTGGGATGGCATTATCTTTTAATAAAAATTCCAGTTTTTATGGATTTTTTTCTATTAACTTTAACAAGGCCAATACAAAGTGTACATGCTTATACTAAGAACATTTCAGCTCAACACAAAATAAAGTCACTTAGACAGCCATGGTGATAAAGAGATTGAAGAATTAGCCAATTAAAACCAATAATACTTTCAACTAGTGGAATGGTAAAAATTAAAAAATAAAATAAATCAGAGATTTTTAGCATGCCCTGAAGAGTATATTTAATATGATTGAAAAACAACACAAATGGATAATACTGGAAACTACCTATCAATTCTGTACATCTACAGGCTGCAGGTGTACACCAGCCTCCCTCCCTGTGATAGGAAGTTGTACTCTGGATTTTGCTTGGTGCTTTCTCACAGTTAGGTTTGGACTATGCGCTCATAGCTAAACTCCTAACTACTACAGAGACAATGACATCTTTCTCAGGGTATCATGTGTGAAGCTCTCACTGATGTTTTGTTACCCAAGCAACTTTATTATAGTGAGTAATACTGTCCAGGAAATCATTTTTAATTTACAAGTAATAAGTAATTTAAGAAAAGGCCTTTTCAAGCATTTAAATATCATGCTCCTAACCAGAACTTGCTTCTAGACCTATCATCCATTGATGATCTATGCCTGATACCCTGATAATCTTCAGTATGATACATAAATCAAAATGTTGATTTTCTTTCAACTCCAACTTCTTTGTATTTATTAACTGGCACTTCATAATCTACTATTAACAAGAAACTTCATTTTTCCTTCACCTAGCTATTTTTTTCCTTGATAGCTTATTATTCTTTTCTGTGATTGATTATTTTTGTGCATATATTCTGTCGCATTTGACAAAAAGAGCCTAGGACATAACTAAACAATGGTTTTTCTCCATGAACAGACCTATTAAACTTACAGCAGATAAAGCAAAAGAACTAATAAACATTTGAACAAACAGCTGAATAAGTGAATAGACATTTGCATTCCCCTATCCTACCCCCAACCTGGCAGTAAGCTAGAACCTGGTGTCTCTCCATAACAGTAGGCAAGGCACTCTACCACTGAGTTACATCTTAGCCTGATTTGAGAGAGGGTCTCTCTGTGGAACCCTGGCTGTCCTGGAACTTGCTCTGTAGATCAGGCTGACCTCAAACTCATAGAGACCTGCCTGCCTCTGCCTACCAATGCTGGGATTAAAAGTGAGTACCACCACCAGTCTGGTTAATCTAATATTTTAATGGAAGGTTTTAGTTGTTGTTAATTTTTTTCTTTTTTTCATCGCAGCACACGGGTAATGCACCCATGTCATAATAAGGTTTGTGCACGCATGCAATAGCATAAACATCCAACAATCATACTTATGAACCGAATAAGGCTCCTTACTCTTATGCCTTAGTTCCACTGCGTTACTATTTCAGAGTCTCCAAGTACAATCAAAATAAAGCTAACAGATTAATAAAATCAAATTCCATGAAATATGAAAACTATCCCTCATATCAAGTAAAAACTACAATTTTAAACTTTCCTGAATATGCGATTATACTACTTTGAATTGCAATTGTTCTACCTGATTCATTTGGTAAGAAGCACAGACAATGCACAATACACATATTATAAATTGACTTTTAATTTCACAGTCATTTTAGAGAAAAGATGTAAACTACTGCTGAGTCATCTATATGTGTCTTCCACAAATTTTCTTCTAAGTCTGTGACTGAATCTATCAAAGTCAAAGAAACTGGAGTCTGAATCCCTTACTTTGCCGTTTACTACTAACACAGCTCTATTAATAAAGGATTCTTAAGCATGTTAAAGAGAATACAATGACAGCTTCAAGCAGAATTCCTGACAAAACACCATTTCACTTACTGTCACTATTTATAATGTCTGCTCCCTTCTTTCTGTGGCCATCTTACATATGCATGTCTTCCATTGTGTACTATAAATAGCGATCATGCTATTTAAAATTTCCCTTTGTTCAAGATTTCAAAAATTGTGTTTTAAACAATGTCTTTACTTAATTTGCTTTAGTTTATTATCAGAGCTACCTGTTTATACATCTTCTCTCCTATTACTATATTTAAGTTCTTTTTGCTCTGATTTTAAGGATTTGCTTTAAAGACTGTCATATTCAAACTAACAGTGCTTTCTTTATCTGCTTTGGTGCCAATAATGAAAAAAATCAATGTCATTTTTTCAAAACTTAATAGATTTCCATTGCTGAATGTAGAAGGTGGAAGAGAAAGAAGCAGCAGAAGTGGGAAGAAGAGACACAATTTTCTTTGCAAAATCACTAGTACACAAATCAAAACAGAGGACCCTTTGTGGCAGATGGGGACAAATAATCAGTTCTTGCCAACATTAAATTCAGAATGAAAATGGCATGGTGTGTAGCATGAAAGAATCAAATTAGCGATGTAAAAATTTTGCCACTTTCTTTCCTCTTTCTCATGGTAACTAACAACACATAAAATATTGGCTGTCCTGTGGGACTCGACTGACTAGAATTAATATGGGTTCCTATATAAACACAAAAGACAAATGGAAAAAAAAAGTTTCAAATACAGGTAAAAGTATGAAAAGACACTGCAGCAATTAAAAGCTATTCTATTCTATTCTAAACGACCAGAGTTCAATTCCCAATAACCATGTCAGCTCACAATCATCTGTGACTCCAGACTCAGGGGATCCAAAGTTTCTTGTTCCTGAAGGCATACCTACACATATATGAACGTATGATAATACTTTAAATTATTTTTCTTAAAAATATGACAGATTGGCTGGGTGGTGATGGTGCACGCCTTTAATCCCAGCACGTGGGAGGCAGAGGCAGGTGGGTATCTGAGTTGGAAGCCAGCCTGATCTACAGAGGGAGTCTAGGACAGCCAAGGCTACACAGAGAAGCCCTCTCTTGAAAACCCACCAAAAAAAAAAAAAAAAAAGACAGATGGCATGAACAAGAAATACTCCTCTGTTATTCTGTGGTCTTTATTTGATACTATAGATAATTTAGACTGCCCTGAGCAACACAAAAATCCTTGTGGCAGGAAAACTCAAAGAAATGATCCCTAGAAAAAGAGATGTTAAGTGGAAGGACATAGCAGATCCTCAGGACCTTCCCACTACTACTCAGTCAAAATGTCTTCACACCATGTGAGTCATTTCATTAACCTGGAAGATGTTTTTAGATGCGATTAACTGTAAATATGTGAACTCTGAGTAAAGTATATTTTCTTCTATGAGATAAGCAGGTCTCACTGAATCGGCTGACAGCCTAAACAGAAGACAAAGATTACCCCACACAACCTCCATCTTGGGGTTTCATCTGCAGCTCTAGTTTCCCAAGTGTCTGCCTGTCACCCCTCAGACTGAAGCTCTTCTGCTGGTTCTCTCAGATCCCTAGCCCGCTCACCCACATAGCAGACTTGTCAGGTTCCCTATTATTTGCACTAGTGTTTTATGGAAATTCAGTGTTTCTTGCTCTCTGGACATTGTGGCTGCTGTTCTTGGTTCTAGGGGTGGGGGTTGTCTGTCCTACACTTAAGGCAGGAACACTGTAGCCCCAAAGAGGAAAGGTCTCTGGAGTCAATCAATTCTAGACTCCAACATTACAGCCCGACTGGTGCGCGCCTTTAATCTCAGCACTCCAGAGGCAGGTGGCTCTCTCCAGCCTGGTCTACACATCACACTCCAAACCAGGCAAGGCTACATAGTAAGATTCATTTTCCATATTATCATTTAGAAGACATACCCTGAAATTCTATGTCTCCAATTTCTATACGGATCATACAAACTTTCACAGAATGCCAATGCATGGATCACAAATTCTTCAATAGATGTCTGATCAGCCATTTCCTTCTCCTTTTTTTTGCTTTTTAACTGAGAATAAAATTAAACATAACATTAAAAGACATGTTTCATTTGTCAGCTTACAATAAGTCATTTTTATTAACATAAGCCTAACTTCCCCTTTGAGTCCTCAAGAGTCACTTAATCACATGGGCTAGATATATTCTCTCAGATGTACATTCTTCCTAGAGTAAGTTTAAAATAGCCAAACATCTTGGAAATCATGTTTTTCAGTAAGATATATGATATATTAAATGATCCATACATAAAATGAAACATGGTATCATTTTTAAAAACTATAAAAATTTTTAAATTAAAATAATGTATTAATAGCTACCTGTTTATTTTTAGAAAATATTAAGATTTGGGACTGGAGAGATGGCTCAGTGGTTAAGAGCATTGGCTGCTTTTCCAGAGGATCTGGGTTCAGTTCCCAGCACCCACATGGCAGTTCACCACTGTCTTTAACTCTAGGTCCAAGAGATCTCACACTTTCTTACAGGCAAAACTCCAATGTACATGAAATAAATCATTTTTAAAAAAAGGAACAAAATATAAAATTTATAAAATGATCTATTACCCATAACTAATTTTAGTTGTCTTTTCAATTACTACCTTCTTTGAAAACACGTAGCAAGATTAATTACAATATTAAATACATTTTTTAAAAAAGTAAATCCTAGGGCTGGAGAGATGGCTCAGAGGTTAAGAGCACTGGTTGTACTTCCAAAGGTCCTGAGTTCAATTCCCAGCAACCACATGGTGGTTCACAACTACCTATAATGAAATCTGGTGTCCTCTTCTGGCCTGCAGGCACACATGCAGGCAGAATAATAATAAATATAAAAATAATAAATAGATAAAATATATTTTTTTAAAAAGTAAATCCTACTTAGTCTCAGTAAATCAACAAAAAGGAATATATTTACACCTACTTGCTGAATATACAGTGTTGTCATGGTAATGATATGATTAATATAAGAGCAAGTCCCAATTTCTTCTACATTTGATAAATTCCTAGGAGATAAAAAGAGTAACATTTATTACATACGCACAATAGATTTCTAGTGTATTCAGCTTGGATTCTGAGAACAGATGCTGGCAAATGAAACATCAGTAATACTAAAATGGGAAATGATGCAAAGGATATTGCCATTATACAACACATGTCCCATTCCTGTTTTCACTCTGCTTTCTGAATTTTAGCTCCCTTTTTCTGATTTATGTCCTATTTTATAGACTGTCCATTTTGTAGAAGCCCATGATACAAGGGGAATTGTCACCTTTACAAATTCTAAGAGGATATAACAATACATCCTGTTCAAAGTAGACAGCCCATAAGTTCTTCAGTTATGACACATACTACACTAATTCATGACACTTAGGTATCTCTGGCATTATTGTTAAAAGTTAAGCTTATTAGTTCCCTGGACCTATAAAATACTTTATATACCAAAATCCAGTAGATGCTCTCAGAACAGGAAAAACGAACAGACTTAACTTACAAATTAAACAAGGATGACATGTTAGCTGTTTATCCCTTTTCTCTAATATAAGAGCATTTAAAAGTCTCTGTCTAGGGACAAGAGAAGTGGCTCTGTGGTTATGAACACATACTGCTCTTTCAGAGAATCCGAGTTGAGGTCCCAGAGCGCACATCAGCTGGCTCACTACCACCTATAACGCTATCTCCAGAGGAAAAGAGGTAAGTCCAAGGGAAAAAGGCCTATGGCTAAATTTTTATCCAGCTATTATTTGATATCATTACAGTCCTACAAATAGCAAGATCACTTCTATACATTTAGTAGGGATAGCTCATCTGTACCTCCAGGAGCCTTTAAAACTACACCTCTGAGGCACAGACAAAGGAGTAGAGGATAGCTTATACTAAAGCGTCGAAACATCTGTATATTAACAAAATGTAACCCATCACTGATAAAATCACCAAATATGAAAACTGCCAGTTTGGGGACTATAGTTCTAGCTCCACTTATGTTTCTGTCAAATCTCATTATCATGCATTCTCTATTACTCTCTTTTCATTCATTTCTTTCCTTCCCTTCTGCCCACAAACAGGAAAAAAGAAAATGAAAGAAAGGAACTTAAAATTTGAAAATAAATAAAGAAGGACCTTCAGCTTCTGATCCAAAACTGAAAGTTTTAAAATTATCACTTTCATGGTCACAATTAGGAAAAAATCTGAATAAACTGTATTTTTGTTGTTGTTGTTTTGTTTTGCTTCTCAAAACAGGAGATCTCTGTAGCCCTGGCTGTGTTAGAACTCTTTGAATAGACCAGGCTGGCCTCGAATTCAGAGATCTGATGGAAAGGCATGCACCACCAACACCTGACTTGAACTGAAAATTCCTAAAAGTCATTAGAGGCCTCAGAAGGAAAGAATTTAAAAGGAAATCATTATAAGCAAGATGAAATCTTTTATTCTTATTCTTAACAGATCTAACATTATAGTTTTTATTCAATATAACACCAAACATATATTAGGTAATTATAGCTTAGAGTCAAATAAAATGAACTACAGTACTATTGTGGGGTTTTTGTTTGTTTTTTCTTTTATGTGTATGAGTGTTTTGCTTGCATGTATGTCTGGTTTCCACGTGTGTATGCAGCACCCCAGAGGCCAGAAGAAGGCATCACAACCTTGGCAACTGAAGTTATAAGATACCATGTGGGTACTGAGGAATTGACCTGGGTTCTCTGAAAGAGCAGGCATACCCACTCCAGCCCTGAAACACAATATTGTTAGAGAATACAGAAGAAAAATTTAAAGGCTCTTAGGTTGACTGATAACAGTTTAGATGGAAAACTAAAAGTGTACTCCGTGGGGGGGGGGGGGGGCGGGGGGAGGATAGAATCAAACACAGTATTAAAAGATTAGAAAGGTAACTTTGAAACAATAAAAATATACATATCAACTGCGTATCAAAATATTCACAGACTGTACAAATAAGAACACAATCCAAGTTTTGTTAGTTTTCTGTTTTTGTTTTTTCAAGACAGGGTTTCTCTATTGTAGCCCAGCCATCCTGGAATCACTGTGTAGGCAAGGCTGGCTCGAACTCAGACACTCACCCCAGAGTGCTAGGATTAAAGGCGCACACCACCCCAACCCGGCTCCACAATCCAATTTTAAAATTTGTCAAGACTTATGTAGGTACTTTACCAACAATGTTATGACAGTCTCAAAAAAAAATATGTTAAATATTTTGTATCATTAAAGAACAACAATGAGGGGCTGGAGAGATGGCTCAGAGATTAAGAGCACTAGCTGCTCTTCCAGAGGTCATGAGTTCAATTCCCAGCAACCACATGGTGGTTCACAACCATCTAAAATGAAATCTGGTGCCTTCTTCTGGTGTGCAGGTGTACATGCAAACATACATTGTATACATAATAAATAAATAAATCTTAAAACAACAACAATGAAATACTAACCACCAACTGCACTAGCTAAAAAAGAATGGCTTATAAAATACTGGAAAAAATGGGGACAACAGGAATCCTCATTCATTGACTGTGGGAATGTTATAACCATGTGATTATAGCATTACTATTCCTAGGAATATGTCTACATGGGTCGAAAAATACACATATAAAACCTAGACATGAATAAATTTATACAGCAATTATATAAATAACAGTCCCAAACTGGGAGCAACTAAGATAGCCTTCAATATAGGTAAATAAGCAAACAAATTGTGGTACCTTTGTGTGAAATAAGATTCAGTAATAAAAAGGTATTAGGTACATCTCAACTTCTGCAACTCTTCCCCAAGAAGCTCACATCCATGTTTTCATATGGGTAGGCCGCTAAGAAACTCTTAAAATTATAATCCCAGCTTTAATTCCAGCTCTCTTAAATCAGAGGCAGATCACTCTTAAATTTTTGTTAAGAGTAGCTTAATCTACCCAGTAAATTTCAGACCAGGCAGACTACATAGTGAGACTCTATCTTTAAAAAAATGTATAAATAAAAGGGTGATGTCTAGCACATATATGCAGGCTTGCATACACACATGTGTATACACTGACAGTCGAGAACCATACAGAAAATATTTCATACTTGCCGAAATTAAAACTTCTGCCATTGTCTTTAAAGTTACTCTTAAAACTGAAGGTGGCACACGCCTTTAATTCCAGCACTCAGGAGGCAAAAGGTAGGCAGATCACTGTGAGTTCAAGGCCAGCCTGGTCTACAGAGTGATTCCAGGACAGCCAAGGTTACACACAGAAACTTTGTCTTGAAAAAAATAAAAATAAAAATAAAGTTACATGTAAATTTACTCTTTTTTTTAAACAATATTTTATTAGAATTCTCAAAGTTTATTTCTGTGTATGCGTGTACATTGTACAGCCTTTGTGTGCCATAGCATGGGTGGGAGATCAGAAGACAGAACTGCAGAGTCAGCTCACTCCTTCCACCATGTAGGGCCAGAAGATGGAACTCAGGTTATCAGGCTTGATAGCAGGTACCTGTACCCACTGAGCCATCTTGACAGCACATATTTAAAATTCTTGGATAAGTGTTTCTATAATTAAGTATAATAATTAAGAAGCTTTCCAGTATACTAATAAATCGTACTAAAAAAGATATATACATTCTTTAAAGATTCATACAAATATCATTAACAAGTACTATTATTATTTTGGTAATAATCATGCTAGAATTTTACTTTTTATACCAGATACCTGCAAAGAATAATGAAGAATTTGACAAGCAAAATTGACAAGGCTTGTTGTTGTTCCTCTAACCCATCTGCTGTTTTCTGAACACAATGCAGCAGCTGGATCCTCAGAACCTGCAGAATATTATCAGGAAGCAGTGATATTCCTGGAGGCACATCATCTACCCTGTAAGATATGAGCAAAGAAACAAAGTGTTCAAACTTAAACTAAAGTAGGAAGGAAGGGAGGGAGGGAGGGAGGGAAGAAGGGAAGGAGGGAGGAGAGTGGAGGGGAGGAGAGGGGAGGGAGGAGAGGGGTGGGGAGGGAGGAGAGGGGTGGGGAGGGAGGAAGGGCAGGAGGAACTAAATAAAAATTAAATGAACAAGTAGATGCAATAAGAAAGTTTCAGTGTGGATGACTGTCTAAAGTAAAAGCAGTCTATGGAGAGCCCTGTCTTCCACTTGTGTGTTCTAGCGCTATGCTGAGTAGCTAGTGTCAGAAACTAAGTGAATTTCAGACCACCAAGAGGGTAGTAGCTCACCAAAACAAGGAAGAGGTTTCTAAAGCCAGGTATAATACTGCCCAGCAAGACTACTATGACCACTGGGCAATACTTGTGTGAGAACATGGTCATGCAAGGAGTACAGAGACTGTTAGCACAGCTTCTATTCTTATAATGTCAATAAAATCCTTTTGCCAAAAGTGAACAATCTCACATAATAGTGATAAATCAGTGTTTCTACATACCTTGTAGGCAGCTTTTCAAAGTCAACGTCTAAAAATTGTTCATAACTCAAAACAAAATTGTCCAACCATAGTCTCAGGTAATCTGGATCTTTCTAAAATGAAAAGATCATCACAATATTAGGTTTATTTATCATAAAAACCTAAAGTGGAAACAATAGCCATTCACAGGATCACTTCTGTAATCTCAGCATTTATCCCCCTTTTGTCTCCTTAACACTTTATTTTATTTTGTTTTGTTTTGTTCATTTCTTAAGACAGGGTTTGCCTGTGTAGCACTGGCTGTCCTGGAACTCACACTATAGACCAGGATGGCCTCAAATTCACAGAGATCCACCTGCCTAGGCTCCAAAATGCTGAGATTAAAAGCGTGCACAACCACCACCTGCTCCCAACACTTCTTTATGGCGGTCAAATTTCAACACGTAATTTATGAGTTTACACACTTAATCATTAAACATCACAGCTTAAGCACTAGTCTAAGCCAAAGGTACCACCAGCAAGTTGTTTCCCTAAAATAAAAGCATTATACTGTAATCCAGAATCTCAAAGAATGTTCAAAGAACACATAACAGTTGCTAACCTTTCAGGATTTGTTTCATTATTGCATTATTTCAAAATCAGCTTATAAATTTGCACTACCTACAGCTTCACAAAAGAAACAAGAAGTGAGAAATATTTTAGGCAAAAAAATAGCGTCTATGAGAAATTTTCTAAGACATTACTTGCTTTTTATGTTTCAAATGAGGTCATTCATTTGTTTATTCACTCACTTATCCATTAGAGATAAGACCTCAAAAATACAAGTAACTGGGCTTCTCTTAATTAGATTCTTATAAAAAGGCAGAGGATTACTTCTTGGTAAAAGACACAGAACAGACAACACTATAAAGAATTAATGCATTTCTCTTCATATTTTATTTAACAATCTCTAGTACCTGGCTCAAATTCCACACCAACACTGTAGCACTGATGCACATTCCAAACCTTCACGCAGGCTCTAAAGGTCAGTACTACCAAGTGTTTGGCAAGCAAAGAATTCTCCTACGAAACTGAACAATTACAAAAAAGGAAAGGTACCGTTTCACTTGAGTTAAACACAATGTTTAAAGTATCTTCTTTTACCTGGAACAGCAGGCACTCTTAACTTACTATCTTATTTAAACCTTACAACTATTCAAATCGGGTTTAGTTTTCTTCATTTTACAGACTACAAAAGATGATGTAACTTGCCCTAAGTCAAAAGCATTAGTGCTTCAAGAATACAAGAATCCAACAGGTACCCATTCTACTACACCGCACTAGCTGTGGACCATGAAACTGTGGAGATTTAGCAGGTCAAACGAAGGAAAGGATGGGTTCAGTAAGGATTCATCAAGACTATAAAAAGTTAACTCACAAAATAATTATATCTCATCTAGCCTGGAAGAATCTATACATGAACTTTCTCATAAAAAGAAAGACCCCTTCATCAGAAACAGTAATACCTGCATCATTTCTCCTCAGTATACAATGATAAAAATACAATCACCTGAGCTCCCTTACCAGACTGTCTGACAGAGCAGATTACTTCCTGGTCACTCTCATGGTTAAGGTCAGTACACTGAAACACCATAGCATGGTCTTATCTCCCAATTTGTATATTTACTAAGATAACACAATGTGGCAAATGTTCTAAGACTGCTAGGGACAATTCAATGTCACCCAGACTTAAATCCCAACATTCAGGAGGCAGAGGATAGAAGATTTTATGTTTGAGGCCAGTTGGTCTAGTACTGAGTTCCAGGAAAGGCAGCACTACAAAATTAGTCCCTAACAAATAATAAAATTCTAAAAAGTAAAATAAATTAAAAACTTGACATATCAATAAAAAAGTGGCAACTACTAATACCAACTATAAATAAGATCTATAACGCAATTAGCCTTTTTCTAAAATGTAAGTCGCCTAATATCTAAATCTCAGTGTACTTGTACAAAATTATACAGTAATTGCATAACATATTCTAACAGTGACAAACACGCAACACTACAAACTGCACCACAACACCTAGAGAAAAAACTACCATAATAAATTATACTGACCTGTGAGAGAGTAGAAAGTATACATACATGTCTTAGCTCCAGGATCTAAAGCGGTGGAGAAAACCCAGTGCTCACTATCACAGTAAGGAGCAATCAGTAGCCTTCCCGCCAATACACAGTATACACTGGAGCTGCTGATCAATACAACCAGGCAGGAGAAAGCAGGAGGCCGGATCGACACAACATCCATCTTCCTGACCGGCTCTCAAATATAGAAAGCTGACCAAGCTGTCTTACTACGATAAAGAGCAGTTATCCTCTCTTCGTATTTTAAAAAAGGAAAATTATATAAAAATATACATTTCCAAGAGCCAAAAGAAACAGAGAGTGACATGGGGTGGTGGGAGGGAGGGGTGAAACCACGGCAACATAATTCTCTAGAGGTGGAAGGGGCAGAGACTATTTAGTTTTCAGACTTGCCTTGAACTACTGCTTACAGGCCTCTTTCTTCCCTTTCCTGAAATCTTTACTGCAGTACCCTCATTCCAGTTTTAACTCTATGTCAGCTTTATACGAAACATATATTGATGGTGTCTTCTGAAGTCAGTCTTCAGTATCAAGAGAAGTACAACTCGAGTTGACCATGTATATCACAAGATCGTATTTCAAGACTGAGTGCAAGACTGAGTTTTTAAGTTGAAATAAATAGAAAGTACATGCTACATATAGGAAAAATATGAATAACTGTGATCAAGAAAGCAGACTGTGGACAGGCATATCCTATAATCCCAGCACTTGGGGAGGCAGAGGCAGATGGATCTCTGTGATTCTGAGGTCTGCTGAGTCTACAAAGCAAGTCCAGGACAGCCAAAAGTTCACAGAGAAACCCTGTCTCGAAAACAAACAAACAAACAAAGGCGAGGGGGAAAAGCAAACTGTGACAGAATGGATTCTTGGTCCCAATTCTTCATTACTTTACAGGAAAAGCTTTTTGTTGTAGTTTTGGTTGGGGGGTGGGGTCAGGGGGCTGGTTTTTTGAAACAGGATTTATGTAACTGACTGACCTATAACTCTCTATGTAGACCAGGCTGGCCTTGAACTTGAAGATCTTTGCTTCTGCTTGGATTAAAGGTGTGTGCCACCACTCCCAGTTCCCTTATAGTAAATTGGCACCATAATTTCACAGTAAAGGGAAGGAAACTGTAACAAGGCCAAATCAACACACAGATACAGTAACTGACCAAAGCTTTACTTCTAGCAGGGCAGTGATGACACACAATTTTAATGCCAGCACTCAAGAGGCAGAGGCAGAAGGATCTCTGAGTTTGAGGCCAGCCTGGTCTACAGAGTGAGTTCCAAGACAGTCAGGGCTACAAAGAGTAACCCTGTCTTGACAAAACAAACAACAACAAAAAAGCTTTATTTCTAATACAGTTTCAAGGAGCTGTCAGAAGCTGATTCTGGGATGACTAACTTACATGTAATAATCTTTAAAGTTTGTGCTATTCATATTAACTTGTAAGCTACTTTAACCATATTAAAGTAGTACCTATCTTGTAAACAGTTATTGTTATGGGAACGTTTACAACTATTCAACTTATGGAGCTTAAGTTCCTTATATCATTCATACATACATACATACATACATACATACATACATACATACATACATACATATATACATACATACATGTGTAATTCTCTAGAATTACAGATGAATTTTTGGAAACCCAAGACTGTTCCGCATTCTAGATGGAACAATGTTGTCTACAGACAAATATTCTTGACCAGTGTAATACAAAAAGAAAGAGAGAGAGAGAGAGAGAGAAAAAGAAAGAAAGAAAGAAAGAAAGAAAGAAAGAAAGAAAGAAAGAAAGAAAGAAAGAAGGAAAATCTTTTTACATGATAAAAGCAGCATGGAAACAAAATCAAGTCTAAATTCAATAATAAAAAATAAAATGGGGAGGACAAAGGGCTTATAGTTGAAAAGTACTGCACGTGCTTAAAATGCATAAGGGCCTGGATTCAATTCCTAATATGATTAAATAAGTAGCTTTTAAATATCTTTCATTACCACTCTCTTTGACTGTTTTTAATGACACTACTAACAACCTCTGAAAATGAATTCAATATATGCTCCACAATGTTTGGGGGGAATATTCTTTGAGAGAGAGAGGAAGAGGAAAAAGGAGGGAGAGAGAGGGAGGGAGAGAGAGGGAGAGACTGTATACATGCCAAGCATCCTTATAAAAATCAGAGGGATGCCCTTGGGTGTTGGACCTTACCTTCCACCAGGGAAGGTCTCTTGTTCACCACTGAGCACACCCTGGCTAGCTAGTCCATGAACCTCCAGAAATTTTCCCATCTCCAACTACTAGCTCACTCTGCCAACTAGAATTACAGAGGTACATCACTGCATCTGGCATCTGATCACATTGGAACTCGAGCTCCTACGCTTTCAAACCAAGCACTTTAGCCACTGAATCACCTCCTCAGCCCTAGTTTTTTGTTTTGCTCTGGAACTCTGCATTCTCCTGTCTTAGGCTCTCGGGTACTAGAAGTACGTATGTGTACCACCACACCCAGCTTCCAATGCTTTTCTTGAGTGTTGTGTTGCATTCTTCTCCGACTACTTCCTTCTTAACACCATTCCTCTGAGGAACCAATACTCCTAGTTCTCCCATTCAGACTCCTTAACATGCATTTTATATGAGTAATAGAAACAATGGACTTTTCTCTCCCCGTGAGGTTCTTTTGTTCCAGGACTTCCTGACTTTTACTTTCTTCTCCTTACATACCTGTAATTATATAACTTATACACCAATGGAACTCTCAAATATTTTTAGTACAACCTTCCTTTTGAACTCTGTATCTACATATGAAGTACTTGAATGTCCCTCAAGGCCTCAAAACCCAGAAAGCTTACCTGCCTGAAAACCTAGTCATCTTGTACCAGCTTGTAAACGGTTTTCCCAAGTATCAGTTTCCACAGCCTGGGGACTATTCAGACTCTTTGTAACTACACATAATGATAATAGAATAAGTGCTACCTACATTACCAACCACCAGGGAA